TCCCTTACATTCGGGTCCAGATTGATATCACACTGGTTAATAAGCTGACGCATAACAGACATATGCGTCTAGGATACTCGCTTTCGGTATCGATATCGCATGAAGCTTTCAATCCTCGTCAACTTGATATGCAAACATCAACATCAATTCGTCGATATCGCAAAACCAACACTCTGGGAACGAGTCTTGCTTCCCTGGCTGTCAGAATGAATAGCCGAAGATCATTCGATACAACTATCAGATCTATGGGTAGTCAGATTCAATAACGAACCATGAGATCTTAAAACATTCATAATTCACAGTCGCCTAGTTCCGTATGCTTTTCGCACGTGGTAGTATTCACAAGTCCGAAATATCTGTGGAGTTTTATATCCTCTCCGCAGAGCGCCACCAACACGCAAATGCACACCGATCTTTGCGGCTTCTCTGTGTCGAGGTGGATTTAATTTCCACAATATGTTGCTGATTTCCTTGCAGGAATAACACTACCGTCAATTCCTAGGGTCGGGTCCAACACTTCTCTTGTTTCTCCAGTATTTGTGTTTTCCCCGCTTTCCTTGTTTATTCATCTATATTCATGATATATTTCAGTAGTAATAGACATACTTTATCCCTCTACCTTATTCAGTCTTCACTTCCTACTACATACTCAACATCTTTCTCTTCATTACCCATTTATCCTTCATCCGGGGTGTTCAACTCATTCCCTACCTCCCGTCCTTATATCCATTTCTCAACATCCCTCTCTTCATTACAAAGCTCATTAAGTTACAAACCCACACTTCGAGAGAACGTCTATCTCATCAGTTCATCATCACGAATGCAGTTTAAACCATCCCGTATCAATCAGCATACACATTTCCAAAAGTTCACAGCCATACATTCTTCAAATAGTAGTAACACCTAACCAGACATTCCTACACTCTCCAACACCAATAGTAATTCCAATTCCATATTTTCCATTTCTCTATTATAATTTCCTGTTTTTAGCATAGGTATACCCAGGCTTGCAATGCATTGTAATAACTAGATATCGTATCAAGCCCATAAAATCAAGAGAGATGTACCTCTCTCTCAACAACGCATACCTACTAAGCTACTCTACATAAAAACAATGAATCCACTCAACACTTTCCATCATCTCATCTCATCTCACCTACATCATACACCCCCCTTCTAGCATATCTAGAAACATCTTTTCTTCCCCGTAGATCCTTTGAACTTTTCCTATCGTCCATTTAGTCCTTGATTATCTACTATAGATAGATACCTACCTATACATGATATCATAAATCTAGTCTAGTCTTTCGTTCCCAGTAATCATTCAATTTCTAGTATGTATGGATACTCCGAACTCCCATTTTTCCATTCTCTGATCCTCTCATCTCATCTCTCTTGATTGCATTTTGAACTACCTAGGCTGGGGTTATATACCTACCTACATATTTGAATACCTACTTAAATATTAATGTGAATAGGTAAATATTAGTAGCAAGTAAAGGACAAGAAAAGAAAATCGTTATACTCCATATCATATATGTATGATTATCTAGGAATACGATACGTATCGAGGTATACTATGCTATACTTCTTGTACGATTATCCAATACCAATATCCATGCCACGTTCACTATTGAATTCGATAATCTTTGTTGTATATCTAGGGATACGTAGGGTCGTATGTTTATAATCCGTAGGTACCTATGTCTTGATTTGTGTCTATCTATGATGTAGGAAGATTGAATTGAATGAATTGATTCATCTTTTGTTGCATATCTAAGCATACGTACTATGGTATATTTCTAGTATATATACACACATAGAGATAAGTGCAGCTTCTCTGTGCTAAAGACTGGACTCGGTGTCATCTGTATAATGATAATGAGGGAAAAAGACTGAAGTCCATGTATACTCCATAGTAATAATTATGAACGAAAGAATGCATTTCTATCTATATGCTGATTGGAATTTGGTTATTTTACTATGAATATTGTGGGATATTGAAAGTATGGCATAGGTAAACTTAGATATTTTCTACGCGTCATCGCAAGTGAAGAAGGTAGATATCTAGGAAGTTCATGAGATTGCAATTGTGTAGTACTTGAAAAAGATTTAGGTATCTACTAGGTATATATGGTGAAACTCTTGCACGCATTTTTTCGCATCGAATTGAGCACGAAGGAGAAAGATTTGATGATAGTATCGATACACTTGGAATATAAGGAGAACGAACCAACCATAAAAGAAAATATGGTAAGTATAGCTCGCAAGATCTCCAAAGCATGAGATCATTTGCAATTCCAAGTCGAAATCTAGGCTACCCATGTACCAACTATCATAGAAACACGGAGAGGCACAAAAAGTATCAAAACCCAAGAGATCGTATACGGAATTCGATTAGAAAATCTTCCAATCCACATTCTAAAATTCGACACGATATCTTTTTGGGATCTTCGAGGCTCTATTGTGATCACATCCCGCAGCGATAGAGTTCGGGTCTATATATGTTCATATTGGGAAAACGTGAACAGCGCGGTAGTATGTACACCCAAGTGAAGTCGGGTCTTTAGGTAAATCATGGATGGTCTTTTGAAATTGTAAGCGTAGCATTTGAGGAGGCACTAGAATAAGTATATAGCCAATTTCGAGCGCAGCGAGCTATGGGGGCTTGGGGGCTTGCCTCCATAATAGGACTTTTTATTGATTGACTGGTCATTTGGTCAATTAATTGATGTTGATATAAATGATGCTTCGCTGACCCTCCGGGGGCTTTAGGGTTGTTGGGTGGGGGAAATGGAGGGAGAAACTATTCTGAGAACTCTATAGCTGTCTGCCATATCAATGACGCTTCGCTGATCCTCCGGGGGCCACTGCCGTGGAGGCAGACTATTTGGAACAGAAAATAATGTAAAAATTGATACAACAAATGAAGCAGACTGAAACGTTTTGGTAGCAAATTCCACTGCTTGAACCATGATTAAGATGATGATATGAAATGAGCATCAACTAGAAGTTTCTCAATCCGTGTCGTAGATTGTTACTATTTGGTAAATAAATATAAAATACCAGCTTTTGGAACGTTAATCAGTTGTTTGATGTACCCCCGCGATTTCTTCATCTTGAGAAGGAAATATTCAAACGTTCAAGATATTGACTGTAACTGTGTTTTGATAGATGCACGATAAGCTTTTAAACACAAGGATTGATCTCGTGGATAACTTGTAACCCAACCCCAACATGCTTGCGACAGGAATGTTACAAGATGGGACGGACGATCCTACAAAATGAAAGGGAAGAAGAAGAAGAAGAAGAAGTTGAGGAGAGAAAGAATGGTTTGAGAAATGCTTGATAATGCTTGATAATGCTTAAACTCAATTCTGCGTTAATTAGTGTCACAATTGATTCTGTATGATTGACAGGTCTCAAAAGAGTAAATTTCGAGAAATTCCATCGACTCTACTCTCAACATATGCCGTGCGTGATCCGATCCATATCCATGTTCTACCACATGGAAAAGTATTCCGAAGGATTGGGATTATCATTCGTTCCATTGTGGATCCATCAGCCAATACATGAAACATTTCATCTGGATGTCTCGTGTCGGAAATCGTTCATCCAGATACTTTACCTAGCCAGTTACTTTTTATAGAATCGACGAAATCGATCATTGACAACATTTGTATGCGTGATTTAATCGGCTTCCTCTTCTCCATTCAGCGTCTTCGTAAAGTAAATCGTCTAGATACGATTCTTGCCAGATAAAATGAAGGTTTCCACATATATGTTTCGCAAAACCCATCTAGGAAATCGGTAGATGAAGTTTGTGATGGTTAGAGAGATGTGGTATATAAAAATGGAAAATAAAAGGGGGATAAAGATTCTTCCCCGAAATTTGTTATATGCATGGAAAGTTACTAAGATATGTAATGGATGTATCTGCGTACATCAACGTCGAAAAAAAGCCTCGAACGACGAAAATGTCGGAGCAGAACGGAAGTACATACCTTGTAGTCGACATTACTAATTAGTAAAAATGCCTTCATATCCTTGATATCCCCTTGCATAAACTGGGGTTGGGAGAAAAGGTGGATATAGAGAGGGGTTCTCACAAGGCTGCTTCTTTACTGTTTTAGGGGTAGATCGGGCTTGGTCCTGGAAGCGAAAGACAAATTATGTACGATGTGGTAAAAGTTGTAAAGGTTGGGTTCAACGTCAAGTGAAATGGAGAGGGGTGGTTTGGTGAAAAAATCCCCCTTACTTTTCAACAATGCGTGAGTGTTGTTTAGCTGATGATTGGGATTATATTGTGAGGGTGGGATGGGATGAGGTGGGATGGGATTGATCAGATTGATGAGACGGTATTTATGTTTGTAGTCAAGGGGATGATGAACTTTCAACCGACAATACAAAACAGTAGATGTAAAGTATTCCAGAGAGAAAGACTCTACTAACTCATTTAATCTAATCTACCTAGTACTCTTCAAAGAACAACTATCCCAAATCATATACTAGGTATCTACCTACCTAATAATACGACAATCCTCATTCGCCATTAACATCCGACTAAATATCACCCGGGAAGGTCCATACGGGAAAAGATATCCACAACCCGTTCCCCATTTAGCGGGTCGTATTGAATAAACATCAACCTGCTAGCTTACTTTCCTACCCAAATCCTCATCTTCATCTCAACACTTACTATGTGTGATCCTGCCATCCCGTCCGATATTTTTGGGACGATTATTGAAACTCCAACGAAACTACCAGCATCTTGTTACAAATTTCCTTCTTCTCAAAGCTCACGCGCTGGTCGTGTCCATATCCCGGTTCTTCATCATGGAATAACCTCCGTGTCTAGAGTCAAGGTACCCACTTAAAAGTATTGCGAACAACCGTATCGTCCCATCAAATATATCAATGATGAACATTCTCCCATGAGTCTTTTTTTTTTCTTCTGAATTCGTCGCACTACCGCAAAGTCAAAAAACTTTATAATTCAAATGGCTTCTTCTTATAATTACAGCACATCCAGTTCTGAAGTCGGAACTCCATATACTCCTAAATCTTCCTCTCCTACTTATTCAGTCGCAAGTCGTTCTTCTTCTACCACCATCAGTAAACGCATCTCTATTTCTACAAGTCGGAGAAATACAGCTATGAATCCTATCGGTGGCATTGATATTGCTGCCATTGAAGCGGCCATGAAGCAATCTTCTCTTGACCATTTGAAAGGTTACAGCCAGACGAATTATCCAACGGTCACTCAATCCAATGAGACCGAATATATCTCTGAAGATTCCGCCAAAGGATATCAGGTTCTTCGCGAGCCTGCATGGAATAAAGGTATATTGCCATCCTCTTCACCTATTATCTTAAAACCCACTTTCTAACTCTCCAAAAGGTACCTCCTTTACTCCCGAAGACAGAGTCAACAAAAACCTTACTGGTCTCATCCCTCACGTCCTAGAGAGCCTCGAAACACAATGTATCCGAGCCATGCGAATGATCAACAGTCGAGCAACCCCCATCGACAAATATCTCTACCTCTCCAACATCAAAGCCCAAAATACGGATCTTTTCTACCGTCTCTTAATCGATAATATCGCTACTCTCATGCCCCTCGTCTACACTCCCACAATTGGTGATGTCTGTCTCCAGTACTCCACATTATATACCCGTCCAGAAGCATTATATATATCCATCAAGCAACGCAAATCCATGACCACCATTTTGAGAAATTGGCCATATCCAGATCCCTCGATTTGTGTCGTGACCGATGGATCACGCATTCTCGGTCTTGGCGATCTCGGTGTTAACGGTGTTGGAATCTCGGTTCGTACCCCTCACCCCTTTTAGAACAAAATCTACTCTCCTTACCTCTCTTTCCTCTCAAAACCTAACCAACCCTCTTTTTCAGATTGGTAAACTAGCCCTCTACACCGGAGCAGCTGGCATCCATCCCGAAAAAACCCTCCCCATCGTCCTCGACTGCGGCACCGCCAACGAAGAAAATCTCCGTGACCCCCTCTATCTCGGTCTCCGCATGAAGCGACCCGGCCCCGAAACCGAACAGCAATTCATGGATGAATTCATGGCTGCCGTCAAGGAAGTCTACCCCCAGATGCTCGTACAATTCGAAGATTTCGAGTCCGAAAAAGCATTCAAGTATCTCGATCGATACAAGGGTGAAAAAATGTTCAACGATGATATTCAAGGCACAGGAGCGGTGGTCTTAGCCGGGTATGCATTTTCCCTTTTCCCGTATTTCCCCATGTGTTAATTTGATATAGATATATCGGCGCAGTCAATCTCTCCGGTGTCCCCATCGAAGACCAGAGATTAGTATTCATGGGCGCGGGCTCCGCCGGCGTGGGAGTCGCAAAGCAAGTCATGGAATACTACACGCGTCGCGGACTCTCTGAAAAAGAAGCTCGTGACAAATTCTGGCTCGTCGATACCAAAGGCCTCGTCACCACCGACCGCGGTGACAAATTAGCTGCGCACAAGAAAATCTTCGCGAGAGATGATAATAATGGTCATCAATTCCAAACATTGGAAGAAGTCATCGAGTATGTGAAGCCGACCGCGTTGATCGGGTTAACGGCTACTTTTGGCGTTTTCACAGAATCGGTGGTGAGAGCGTTGAAGGTGAGTGTGGATGCGGGCGGGTTGGGACGAAGACCCATTCTCTTCCCGCTCAGTAATCCCCTCACGAAAGCAGAATGTACCTTCGAGCAAGCGATTGCCTGGACTGAAGGAACGGTGATTTTCGCCTCCGGATCCCCTTTCTCGCCAGTGACGATCAAACATTCTGATTTCCCCTCGGAAAACTCCACAACATACTACCCCAATCAAGGAAACAACGTTTACGTCTTCCCGGGATTAGGACTCGGCGCAATCTTGGCAAAGGCCTCGAGAGTCACAGATGCAATGGTGTATCAGAGTGCGGAAGCGTTGTCGGGATGTTTGAATCGCGAGGAATTGATGATGGGGCTCATTTATCCGAAAATTGAGAGGGTGCGAGATGCGAGCGTGGTGGTTGCGAGGGAAGTGATGAAGGCGGCGAGGAGAGAGGGGGTTAGTGAGTTGAGTGAGGAGTGTTGGGCTGTGTGGGAGGAGTGGGGAGATGTAGCGTTGGAGAATTGGATTAGGAAACAAGTCTATGATCCCCGGTGGTAGAGTGAGCGAGGAGGGGACATTGGATGGAGAAGATGATTTTTTTTCCGTTTCTGTTGCGCTTTCGAGGGCTGGCATGCTAGGGCAAGATACCATGACTTTTTAATGCGAGTTTGCTTCTTTTCGTCGTATGGTACGGTATATGGATTATACGAGGGGTAATTACGTACCACAACTTCAAAATTATAAGTTGGTGGTGGATATCTAAATTTGTCAAATGAGAAATAATATTACAAGAACTGGTTCTGAACTAATCTACATCTTTTTGAATTTTCAAACTCGATACTCGATCTTCATTATTGATAATACTATGATAAAAACACCAAGAGTATTCCACGCCCTATGGCACTTACTCACTCAGAGAAGAGATTTGCTCCAAGTATCTATATCGCAAAATCATAATACTAGAGAGATAGTATCAGAGAAATATAAAGTAAAGTTTCCAATCCATCTTCCACTTCCGATTATTCGTTTTCTAAAAGCATGACCTGATAAAGTTTCCTGCGAGAATAGTATTTTTATGTGGGTTTTGATATTTCTGGGATAGGGGATAGGGGAGAGTGGGTGTATTGAGAGAGTGGTGGATAGGGATATGGATATGAATACTAAATACTAATCAAATCCTCAATGAACAAATGAACAAATGAACAAGATGAGAAATAATAAACAAGAATATGATTTATAAGGATTGACGAATCCTTTTTTAAATTAACACATCTACTGTGGATTCTAGTATGAGTAGAGTGAGTAGGTTTCTAGAGATTGGAATTGGGGAAGGTGAGGGGGATGATTGGATTTATAGTGAGGATATTATGATACGGCGAAGAAGAGGAGAAATAAACAATCAACAACACAAAAAGGTTTTTCATATCATAAATTACCAATTATCCATCACGCCCCCTCCATAATCCCAGATAAATGAATAGTAAATAGTAAATCATAAATTTAAAGGATTACGTGACAGAATGTAATATGATATGTAGAAGAAGAAGGAGTAAGCGAAACGCGCTACATTCAAACCCGAAATGGAGAGAGACACTCGGAGTTTTCAACTCTGTGTTGAGATCTGGATGTTTGTTTTGTTCTTTTGTAGGTATTTTTGAGGGGGGTGTTGGAATTTGGGATTTGTGTTTACATAGTCGATCTCTTCATACCTGGGTAGGTATGGGACGCTATCCGGTATGGGGCTGCGAGAAAAGAGGGGGTTTACCTTGCTGTTGTGCTAGAATTGGTTTAAGTGAGAGATGTATTATTGAAGCAAATCAGGTTTTGATTACTTCCAAAAAGCTGATAGTCAAAATTTATCTCCTTCCCTCCCCTCCAGCATCCATCATCCCTCCAACCCCTCCACATAATCCCGAACCGCCTGCTCAAACCCTCTATCCTCCCTAAACCCCAACCCAAACGCAAACGAATTATCATACCTCACCCCCCAACTCCTCAAAATCCTTACCGTCGCCTCCTCCTCCTCCTCCTTGATCAAACCCAACTTCTCCTCTCCCCCAACCTTCACCAACGCATCCAACATCTCCTGCACACTCGCTCCTTTCCCGGGGAGATTCACCGCTCGACGATGACCATCCACACCCTGCAAATCCATCTCCATCGCATGAATCAGATTCTCCGTCAACGTCCTCGGACTACACATCCAACTTACAAACCCGCGATCCTTAATCGGCACCACGCATTCCTTCCCCGCCATCGGCTCTCTAATCATCCCGCTCAGAAACGAACTCGCCGCCTGCGTCGGTTTTCCCGGCCTAATACTAATCGTGGGAAAACGCAGTGCTAAGCCGTCGATAAATCCCCTGCGGATATAATCCTGCAGGAGAGTCTCACATGCTAATTTTTGACACCCGTAAGAACCTTCGGGCGTGGGATGCGTATCCTCTGTTATTTTTTCTGGGAGGGGTCTCCCGTATACCGCGAGCGAAGACGCGTAGATGACACGGACTAGTTTACCTTCGGGCTTCAGAGATGGAGTATTTCTGATTCCTTCCAGAAGAGAGAGTGTAGAGTGCAGATTTACTTTCATGCCGAGTTCGAAATTTTGCTCCGAGCCGGATGACATGATGCCGTGGAAGATGAATATGGTGTCGATTATTCCGGCTGAGGACAGGAGGGAAGAGAGGGACTCAGCATTGCAGAGATCGGCTTGGATGCATTTTGTGCTTTGGGGATGGGGGGAGGAGGGAGTAGAGGGTGTGATGATATCGGTGAGGATGAGTTTGTTTTCGGGGGCAGTGGGATGGTTGGTGAGGAGGTGGGCGGCGAGGAGTCGTCCAATGAAGCCTGAGGCGCCGGTTATGAGGATTGTGGGCATGGTGGTGGTGATGTTTACTCTGTTGAAACTAATTTCAAAAAGAAAAACAAGAATTTAACTTCTTTCTGTGCACAGAATCCACAGCGTTATAACTTATAAGTAGGAACCCTTCTTAGCATCAACAATCAAAGAAGTCGTCAATTGCAAACCGAGACTCTGATAGACGGAAGAATTGACCCCGAAGCCGAAAGAAAGATGGGGGTTGATAATCGCTCTCTATATGATTGATCCTGTACATATGCCAGCTGCAAATCCACGCAACTTGTACAACTTTGCGATTGAGCTCTAGAGGTGGTAAGTACGGCACAGATATTTAGGATATTCCCAGACGGAAGGTGATGCGATGGAAGTAAGACCATCTCCAAGTTAGATGTTTTAACCCCGCCTTTACCCCGCGCCGTGGGGGGCAACATGGTGGGGGTTGTAGTTTCGCTGAAATCTCTAAGGGGCATAGCCGACAATGATACGAGTTCGTATATCCTGTATCAAGTAGCGAGCAAATGGAAATGCATTGCCTTTGAGGGGAGAGAGGAAAATGATAACTGGACTAGGCTAGGCTGGGCTTGGTCACCATTCGATTTCTTGCGGATGTATATCAATCATATTGCTTTCCGTGTCGGAAGAAGCTATTTACAAATGGACCGTTTGAATTTGCTTATACCATCATATTGATTTATCTACCTTTTCAGTTGTCAATACATTGGACAATGAAAATATCTAGATTTTGCTTCCTCAAAATTTAACCACGCAAATCCTTACTGGTTCAACAGAACTTGGTCTGGAAATCATCATTCATCTCTCTTGTTAAAATTTTCCCCTTTCAACTTATAAAACACGCATCCAAGCTCGTGGCTCCTTGATTCTTTTTTTTTCCGCCATACTTCTTTACAAATGCCTCAATCACCACCTACATTCTCTCCACAGGACTCAACCCCAAAATGCGCATACCATTGTAAAGTACCACTCTAGCCGCATCATAAAGAGCCATTCTAGCCTTCATGACTTCTCTCTCGCTACCCATAATTCTAAGATGATCATAACTACTACTGAGGACGTGAGTCATCTTGAAGAGATATGTAAGAATGGTTGTTGGTTCTAGAGTCTTAACAGTGTTTTGAACAACATCTGGGTATTGGGAGAGTGTTCTGATGAGGTTTTGAGCGTGGACTTCAGTAAGGAGTGAAAGGTCTGCAGAGGCAATTTCTTCGGGTGTAAGAGCTGCTTTACGAGTGATGGAACAAAGACGAGCATGGGCATATTGAAGGTATGGACCTGTGTCTCCTTCGAAAGATGTCATAGTTTCCATATTGAATGTGTATCCGTTGACACTAAGAAGAATTAGTTTGGAACTCCATATTAAGAATAATGAAAATAAAAATAATCGATTTGCTTACCGTTTACCACTCATGTCCTGTACCATGACAGAGCTGATACCAAGGATATCAGATGTAGCTACTGGATCGGCAATCTGCTCATATTTGGCCTCGTTCTTCTGCATAACCTCATGCATCTTTTCGGCAACATCTCTCAAGATATCATCCAAGAATTTTACAGTACCACGACGAGTACTCATGCCATGAACCAATCCAAAGTTGATGTGTTGACACTTATCTCGGAGTTCCTTGTAGCCCAAAAGTTCAATAATCTTGAACAATTGCTGTAAATGTAACTCTTGATCAGTTGCGACAACGTAGATCATTTGATCAAAGTCATACTTTTCTTTTCGTTGTAACAATTCACTGATATCTCTAGTAAGATAGAGTGCTGTGCCATCCCTTCTCTTAACGATTGCTTTTCCAAGACCTTTGCCAACCTTTCCAGCCACGTGCTTGGTGAAATCGACAATCATAGCACCTTGCGACTCTTCGGCAATCTTCATTTCCTCCATTTTCTTTCCAGTCTCCTCCATTACTTCTGCCTTGACTTGAGATTCTCCGGAATAATCATCAAAATGAATGTTCAATCGTGCATAAGTCTCCCTGTATCTCTTGATACTGAGCTCACGGAATCTAGCCCATTGCGCAATTGCTTTCTCATCGTTCTCCGTCATTGCTTTGAAGTATCGACGAGCTTGTTCATCCAACCCTTCATTCTTGATATGCAATGCTTCATCTGCCTTTCCTTCTGCTTCTAATGCTGCCATCTTATCAGCCTCAGCCTTCACATCTGTATTGATTTTGACGTAAATTTGGAAGAGATGGTTGATAGGATCTGCCTTTAAAGCCTCTTCATCTCCATATCTGTCAAATCCCAAAGCCAATAATCCATATTGTTTGCCCCAATCTCCAAGATAATTGACACGAGTCACATCCCATCCAACCGCTGCGTAAAGATTCGACAAGAAACCTCCGATAATTGTACTTCGAAGATGACCAGCATGGAAAGGTTTTGCGATATTTGGAGATGAGAATTCAATAACTATTTTCTTTTGTCCCTTTGATGGATCTTCAGGATCGACGAGGCCAAGATATTTGTTTTGACCAAAGTTTGACTTTTGTTGGATGATGGTAGGAATAAGAAGTTCGTTAAGTCTGTCGGCTTTGAAGAAGAATTGGAGATAGACACCATTGGTGGTAGGCTTATGAACGAGAGGTGATTCAGGAAACTATTCAACCCAATTTGTTAGTCATTCTCATGATATGATTTGATTGCGACGAGTATACCTTTGCCGCCCATTCTTCTGCGAGCTCGTTGGGCTTTTTGCCCTTGACTCGCAAAGCTGGGACGGGCAACACCAAGTCACCTTTGTCCAAAGTATTTGTCCATGCTAACGCAGGGTAAATAATGGCGGAATCTACACCAGTAATCTCAGCTAAGTGAGAAGTAATGTGAGCTCTGTAGATGTCGTTGATGTTGACGTCGGGGTGACAATTAGGGAGCTTGGGTAAGTCTGAGACACTCAAAGACTTAAGTTTCTCCGAAATGAAGTCTGAGGATGAAGTCGTCGTCGCCATCTTGTAAATTGTGGTTGAAAATGTGCGAAAAGAATTGAAGCTGTGGGGTTTAAATCGAGGGGTATTTTGGACTGAAGTGGAGATCAATCTCAGACAATGGTGTGAATTCTTGCGAAGGATAGAAAAGGTGAAGCTCATATGGTTGAAGACAGTATCAAAAATACCTTCTCCTCTTTGAGATTATCGTGAAGTGCGACGATGAAGAGAGGATTAAAGTTATGGATATTTATGACTCTCTATTCGATTCTCGTTGGTGACTCAAAAAGTTACTGGTTAACTGATCAACACACCCCTCCTCAAAGGATTTTTCTGCTGCTTCAACAGGGTTCCAGGTTGATTCATTTTTTGGTACTTTGATTGATTCACCGCCTTTAGTGATGCCTTGAAATTAAGGCCATAAATTCAAAATAATGTTCTAAATTCATTCTGGAAAATACTTCAAGCCATAAAATCATCACTCTTATCTCTCAAGCCACTTCGATTGTAATGGTAACAGTCACACCAGATTTTCCTCGAGATTCCAGTTTGGATTGGGAAAATAGTCAAGATTCGATCAAACAGCCTTCCGCTTTCGTCTCAGCTCGCTTTAAGAAGGCTTGGCTATCACCATCTTTACCCTTCTCTCCCCACGCACTTTTTCGAGCGTTGTATACAAGTACTGAAGAGCTCTCTATGCCAATTCATACACTTTCAATTTGTTCATTTCTTCAATTTCTTCAGTGAAGAATGTACCATTTGAAAAGATCAAAGATAGTAGTTCAAATCATGGATTCATTTCAAAGGGATGATAGTTCATTCCTATCATTTTCTAAGAACAATCGATGAAGTCATGATGATAATAAGGATAAACCCTTCCGTTTTCAACGCCATCCATATTCGAAAAGTTAATCATATCCGATCCAAAAGGCAAGTGACCTCCCCTTTCTCAATACACCATACCGAATCTTGTCCATTCCCAAACAAAAGACCAAGAGATAAGTATGGTATATACTCCTCTAAAAAGGACTGAACATAATAACACCAAGTAGGAAATCCAAAAGTTATAACAATCGGAACTAGAACCCAAATTCCAAACCCATCAATTATGAATATTAAGAATCCCGCCATTACACCGCACTTCTATACCACCTCATGTTGTGAGACTCTCCAGCATTTTCGTCTTTGCCGACCTCGTTCAATGAGCTGGAGTTGGAACATCTTGACCGTCATCTCGTAGCATTCGAATGAAGGCACGTTCTTGAGAATCTAAACACATCTGTTAGCCAATTGCGTCCTCTAAAAAGTGACAGAGGAATTCTTACTCGGTCGAGAATAGTTTGGACCGGACTCTTCCACAGTAATTGAGCGTGTATCGACTTGTTCATCGCAAACGACTGCACCATCTGGGCCCGACTCGGGAGAATAATCCATTCTCATTAAACTAATTCTGAGGCGATAGCGACCAGGAGTGTGAATGGCAAGATCTGGGAAGAAGAAGTACGCTTGATCGCGCACACCTCTAGATCTAGTCTGAGCGATGGGATGCGCAGAGTCTGCGGCTTTCCCATCCATTTGTTCATATATGACTTGGCCAGTGGCGTAATGGATGAGTGAAACACAAGTCCAGTAACCGGCAAGATGTTCATAAAGATCATGATCACTACTGAGTTGAACGATTAGAGGAGGGTATAAGATTGATCCTGGGCGAACTCTCGCGGGAGGTTGGACTGCAATAGACAACATGTTGAAGCTAAGGTGGGTATTGGTAGGTGTTGGGTTTGAGTGCTGATTAAAGAGGTTCTCAGATGCCAGGAACTGAAAGCTAAAAAGACAATGAGTTTTGGATGAGCAAATGCGACTCTTGATCGATGAGATATCGAAGTAGCGGTGGCGGATGGGTGTTTGACTGGTTGATAATTGGAAGTTTGTTGTGAATTTCGAAACGAAGACAGCGTGAAGAGAAGACTGATTGAGATGATGATGAGAATACTTCGAAAACATGGACGAAAGGACTCCTTTTATCTTTCTCCATTGCTCACACTCGAAGAAGAAAATATATGAGGCTGAGATACTTCATGAACATATCATGGATGGGATAGAATCTTCCATCCCGATAGGTATCTCAAGAAGAGTTCATGCCGCCTCAATCGAATAGAGAATTATTCGCTTGTGCCCTTCGACCACTCAGAGCCAATCTATTTTTCGATAATATCAGCTCTGACAGCATCGATGAGAGAAATATTACTTGATTTTCTGCGGGTAATTCCTCTGTGTGGCCTTTTTTACTTTACTTATTTTCCCCTCAGACTATTGTTCGGGGAATTCCAAGCAAGGGAAGCCGGTTCCACTGATACACACATTATTGTGGGCGTCTTAGATCTACCCAAGATTTGAACGTTGTATAGATCTCATGCAACGAAATGCAAGATTTGGTTTTATGCGGTATTCCCAAGGGAATGGTCCAGGACCCGCGGTGGTAAGTCGCAAGCCATGCTTATCTCGGTAAGGTCCACTCGGCCACGCTAAGAGAAAACTACAGGGCCATCGGGACCCGGCAAGTCGTCACCACTGTCACATTCGGCTCGTGTTAGTGACAATTGAGGATTTAATGGCAATGAATTACAAGATACAAATTACCACCCTAGAAAATTATGTACTTGGAGCCAATAAAAAGATGGGATTAAAGATAGTAAGTTAATTTCTGGGGTACTCGATCGAATCTAAGATTGAATGTTACATCAGAGGGAGCTTTCTTCTCTTTTAGACATATCTTCCGTCTAAATCCTTGAAAGTACCTATCTACCTTGTGAGCATTTTCCTTTGAAGTCAATGGACCATCTATGTCACACTCATTCTATTCGCTTTGTACCCAACTGAACTAATTGACTCGTTCAATCCGATTTTAGTATCAATCTATTATCTCTGCTATAGATCTGAGCAACTTACACCAAATTTATGTTCAATTGGGCTGCGGTACAATTCATACAATCTGATTTTAGGATAATCAATTGAATGAAATGGAAAATCCTTTTTAGTGAAAAATTCATTGACACACGGGAAAAGGGTTATTTTCCCTCATCCCAACAATCTTTCTGTCAGGCAGTGTCAGCTCCTCTACCAAATCGGTTGCCATTTCGAGTATGGCGTGTTAGTGGCGCCCCTCTAAAGCCTTTTTTTCAAGGGTATACGATCGATTTCGGTACCCTGTTATAGGTCTCGTGGGTTTCTCAGCTATCAAGGGCTAGCAAGGGCTAGCAAGGGCTATCACAACATCACCTCAATTAAAAATGACCAATTGGTTCCAGTTTCAAATAAATCTTTGTGAAGGGATTGAGAATACTAGGGAAACCAACACTTCGAGAATTTTCTTGAAGCTTTGGAAGGATGTATAGTTATTCATCGACATCTATAACCTTTCTATTTCATGACCTACTCGCTGTTAGGTGGGGATTGGGGGCTAAAGGATATCAGAACCTTCATAATCCGTACTCTCCAAATATCCTACGTCACACGACAATATTGAAGAGGATTAGCAGCAAGTGTGCAAATGCGTGGATAAAATGTGTTGAGATCATATCTACTTCGGGGAATGAAGTGAAAAGGGATTCACCCGATTTCTGGACCCATCTAGTCGCTGGCTGATTTGGAACAAGGGTTCAATGAAGATTCCTCCACTTTAGTGCAGAAACCGCTGGGATATCTCGCATGGTAGAAACTTTTTTTCTCACCTGCATAGATCTGGTTTGAGATCTGGGTATCACGACATATTGCCGCTGAACTAGGGTTTTGGAGCCCCTCAAACTATTGTCGACAGCTGAACCACTCACTGGGATTGAACCCCGCACTATCCACCATTGATGTGGACAACTGGAAGCATGGTTAGAAAATCCGTATGTAATATTTTCAAACATAATGACTGAACTTTACATTACTCACTCAATGAAGCGTCAATTGATCAAGATTATTTAGGCATTTATTCTTCACATTCTACTTCGATGAGTACCCTTAATTTGGAATGGTTCGGATAAGCATAGTTACGGGTTTAGGGGTTAAATTGCTTAGAGGGGTAACAGTCGGCGCAGTCGCAGGTCGTGATTACCTTTTCAACCCCATCATGAGTTCTTTCCTCGATGGAATAACCATGGTCATCAAATTTTCGATTAATATCGTTTTTGGAGACCTCTTTCTTGTTGTTTCTTATTTTCTAATTTCTATTTAATCATTTATTTCCCTCGTTCTCTATGGCATCCCTAGACAGCCATCTACCACGTATCACTTACCTTACCTCAAAAACTGTTTGACTTCTCTTCCGCGTTCAGATCGCAAGACTTTGAACAATACAAACGAGTCATTCTCAATTTTCAGGAAGTTTACGGACCGACAAGACGAACACATAGCTAGGTAATTTATCACATTTGCATCGTCATATATCCTTCCTGCAGCTGCGAGGTCTTGCAGTCATGCCGTAGTATCACAGGAATCGTCTGATATCCTTCTCTATAGCATTTTCGAGAGTCAACCATAGTTCAAGCCTCGATTCATGTATACTGTGGGAGAGGATACCATACTCCGAATCATTCTTCCATCTATTATCGCGTGTGTAGCGATTATTTTGGCGTATTCGGCCTTGAACCTTTTCTACAAGCATCAATTCGGAAGCCAACGTCGCGATTCATCCCCACATACCTTATGAAGGAGACAGTAAAAGGGTTCACGGTTCTAATCATTATGCTTGGGGCCACCTGCCTTTGTCTCCTCGCAATTATTTTCTACATGAGCTTCGTGAAAATATACAGGCGTCGGATATCGATCGCGGGCGTTATTCGTGAAAATTCTATGGCATGGCGTACCAAGGTGTAAGAATGCTCGCCTCCATGTGTTCCCGTTTTGAACACATTCGGAGAAGATACTGAGAAACACCTTACCGATCCCTGCCGACCCATTTCTTTCACGGTCCTTTTCTGGATGGCAAACGATATTCCTCATGTTAGCCAGTGCAACTGGCTGAAGAATAGCGTGGCTTCTCCGATCTGGTGGCAGATCTTTTCAGATCTTTTCAGATCTTTGGCACCACAAACTCGATCTTTCATGGTCAATACGCCGAATGATCGGACACTCATCAATCAGCACCCATATTCTGGACGAGTATCATATTGGGACTGTTCAGTAATCAATCAAATTGGAAGGAGCGTAGCGCTCCTGTCATGTTAGACTAGAGTGTTCTACTGAGGGGTGATACTAAGAATACTTTGTTATTGCGCGGTTTATTGAGATTGCGATCGACCCTTAGATAGCTCACTGCATAGAATACCAAAGTATTCCTGCGAAATCACCCGAGAAAAATCTTCATTACAGGGTTATCACCTTCCTTGTGGTGATTCTTGACCGGTACCCGATGCCTGATTCCACTCAATTCCATGCACAGTGACAGAATCGCCAGTTTAGGAAGGCCGTTATATGGTCCACAACCTCATTCTCTCGAATATCGCGATCCTCCTGACACCCAATCTAGATTTAGATCTCCGAATCTCAAGCCGTGTGAAGTACACATCTCATCTTGTCTTTTTCAACCCCCAGTGATCTCTCCACTTAGATTGACGGGATGCGCTATCGTGAGACAAGTCTCAATTTTCTTCAGATCAACGTTGCATACAAATATCTTCACAATGTGGAAAGAAACCCACAGAACGGCCAAAGCTGCAGATCATCGTCATGTTCATATGATTACTTCTTGCACATATTTTACTAGTGTCTTTTATCAGAAGGCGAACCCCTGAAAAGTTTCGACAGCTCGATAAAGTATTAAGGTTAAAAATTTTTTTTTTGGCCCGGTAGTGAGGTGCTACGAAAAACATCGGATAACAAAATCTAGACTGGTGGATCAGCAGACCCTTCGAGGTTCTGGGTCCGGGTCACTTTTCCCCGGTGAACAGACTCCCGAGTGTCTCGTCCCACGGCAATTGGCTTGTCGCTGGAGTGGTGCTAATAAGGTAAGTAATTATATACGTCATTTTTTTTGACAAGATGATCATCTTGACATAAGGCAATTAGGGGTATTCTTCTTTCTTTTGTTTGATTGCGATACGTTGATGAGATATTGGGTGGTTGAGATCGTACCCGTGATCGTTGATGCAAGAGGCTCTTTCTTCTACCCATCAATCGATCTTGAAGTTTCTTGAATAGAAGGGGATTTTTTTCTGCTTTTCTTTCTCGAAGTTCGAATACAGGAAGGAATAACACGTTCTCAAAGTAGTGTTCACTTGCTGGGCGCTGTAAATCAGCCCTTGAATGTCATAAATTTTAACGTTCCATCAAAAATGATTCGGGCTTTTCCTTCTTCTTCTCTTTCTCGCTCCAGCGCGTGTACCTCACAGCATGTACCTCAGAATACTAGAGTGACAATGTCATGAATCTTCTCACTATACTTCCATTTACAGTGTTCTGGGTACATATACCTCTCTGCCCAATGTATCCGTTGCGTGCTCAGAGTTATCTCTGCCGACAACGCCGAACCTTTTCAATCAACGAGACGACTGAATGTACGGTTAAGGAAGAGTGGTCGTTCAAAATAGCCTGGCTTGTACATCACAACCCAACAGACAAGCAGATACGAGAGAGGAAACAATGGAATATCTTGCAGACAAACAAATAGGTCTGGGATTAAGTCGATAATGATCAGTAAGTACGATCAAGATATTTCGAGCAACTTCTTATTTTATGGTCAGATAAATGGACAACTTAGACTGAATTGCTTGCTTGGCGATGGTATCGTATGGTGGGTATCCCATGGAAATTCTTTATATGGGTTATGATTTGACAACTCTTGTAGGTCTATTCATGGGTGAATTGCTGATGTTAAGTGGATTGGCTCATGATGAGGAAGGAAATCTATTGGCGATCCGGATTCCAGACGCGTTCTATATTGGGAGTGGAAAATGGTCCTTGGTGGAAAGTTAGTTGTGAACAGAGATAGGGTCGTCCTACAGTATCAGCATGATAGATTGAAAAGCTGCTTTCACTTTGTTTTGAATTCAAGAAGTTCGTCGATGAGAATGTGAAGATGTTTTATCGATATACAGAGGTTGAAAGTGCTAAGTCCTTTTTGTTACTGACTATACTCACAATACAGACGATGCATCCCATCTGATCTCTTCCTTATACTTTTATCGTTATATCTTCATCTCTATAACATACGACTGCATGTCAACATCCACATTACCCATCAAATCTCCCCATCAAAAGTCTCAATTTTCTTCATCAAAAATCTCACGATGTTAATTGACAAAGATGATCTACCGACACTACAGAGTCCTCATCCCAAGCAAATCACCCCGCAAAGCCGTAATACAAAGACACCGCAATAACAGGGTCCCGATCAGATAACACGGGATGGGCATAAGTACCGCGAGGGATTATCCGACGAAGCGACGGGCCGCACCGGCGTTTTGAGGAAGCGCCGTATCATGTGGGCGGATTATTGATGGAGAGTGAGAAAGCTTGTTTGACGGGATACGATATGTATGTATCACATGAACTGAGGAGTATCAAAGAAGATGGTTGAGGAGAAATATAGAATGATATGGGTGAGCGAGAGAGATCAAAAGGGTATGGAAATGAAAACAAATTAATTATAGGATATTAGTTTTGACGAATACCGGATGGAATATCGGGTATGGGTAAGCATTCAGACTATTTATTTCGGGTAACCTTTATATCAGTACTTAGGTAGATAGGTACCTCTGCATATGAGCGAGTACCTACATGCCTTGCAAACACGTAGATTTCTCTGCGCGAGCCGTCTATTCTGCCTTTTTCATATCGATCTAACCCCCAATATCACGAAAACAACCCCGTATAACCTTACACCATAGCCCCCAAATCGTTACCATGAACACCAATTCCGATTTTCTGGTTAAAGTTTGAGTCTATATCCGACATCCAGATCCATGGCTGTGGGAATCTCAAATATTTCGTGTGGTGCGATCAGGAAGATAGTTACGAAGAATGGATTGATGTTAATTAATTAGAAAGGGAAGATGAGTGGCGTGGTTCTGGATCGGCAGTTCTAGAATGCTCGGATTTAGGGTAATGTATCTGAGATGGGAGGACATGAGTCGGATGAAATTTGGGTTATTCTGGGAGTGTGTGAGGTTGATGGATTGGATTAATTTGGGACGGGACGAGAGTCCTAGTCCTCTTTGGGTAGGTTTCCATGGTGGGCAAGTTGCGATATTATATTATCTTTAACAGGGGAAAGAAACAGAAGAAGAAAAGCCCAATGCCTCGAGGCAGACAGATCCCATTCTTCCGGAATCCCTATCCAAGCCTCTGATTCTCCGTCGTACAAATAGGCATGCCGGTGAGAAGATGTGCCGATATTATACACACCTACCTACGCTGAAGAATGTCAAGGTAATTACCGTGAAGCATATACATATATGCATGGTTGACATTCGTCAAGGGACAGCATACTGTTGTACACCTCTACGTCATGACGTTTTTCACGCCCTTTATATAGATAGGTTTCACATCCAGGATGCAATCCGAAGTGTAGGTAACTTTCTTCATAGATCAAACATCTCACATATAACATCTGCAGGAAGAGAAGAGATTCTTCCCCGGTGAGATCGGATCGGAGACAGGATGACAGGGCGGCTTGGCTTTGATGCATGGGTTTCGTGTCTGCCAACTCTGAGGTTCGTCTGTGGAAAAACCAAAGAAGCGGGTAGATTGTGCTAGATGCCAGATCACTGTGTGACATCAGCACCATGGGAAGAAGGCTTTTCGAGGAACGAGACAGCCAAAGGGTCCATCTTGAAATTATACTTGAGTACGTTGTGTGTCTGTGCGCATGCTTACCTTTTAATCTGCCCTGAATAGAATGAGCTAGATGATCAGTAAACAGCACAAAAATAAGAATATTATCTTTGCTTCTACCGCTCGCCGTTACTCCCTGGGAACCTTTTGTTGTATTGCCTTTCTCCTCGACGTTTTAATTGGTATATATCTGTACCCGTATCCCCTCTCAATCAAACCCGCACGGGCAACATAGCGAAGTAGAGCGCAGCATACACAAAAGTGCAACGTCGTACCAATTTGGCCGAAGAAATACAGCTTTCTTAATTTAAATCAATTTTTATAGATCCCCAATCCCAGATGGCAATAAAATCCCGAGTTTGGGAAAACGGCGGTCAAGGATACGATGCTCTGGAGAAGGATAAAGTATGAGATCGGTGGCTTGGACGCAATGTATTGGAAGGCTGAACGGTCGCGTGGTACGGCGGGTCGAGATCTGGCATCGGACGCCATGTTGTTTTTCGTGCGAGATAGATGCGAGATGGTGGAGGGGGAGATGCAGAGACTTGAGGTTTTTATGGTGAGACGTTTCACACCTCAAATCTTTTCTTCCGGGGTGTTAGGAGATGGAAAGTTGTAATACGAAAGAAGCGAGATAGTGTTGTGAGGTTGTACTGGAGATTTTTCGTTGAGGCACACTCACCAGTATAGCTTCGACGGAGAGGAAAGGGGCTTTCGTTTCGGTTACTCGTAGTTGGGATTTTTCCGGTCGGAGTGGAGATTTGGTGACAGGTGAAATCGGTACGAGATAAGATGTACTTAGATCATAAGATGAGATGAGACCGTGTGATTTTGAACGGAGATGGAGATGTAGATTGATAAAGGAAGAAGCCAAAGTGATATGTGACTTAGATTTGTGGAACTGTTGTGTACTCAGCCATTCGGGGACAAAATGTAGAGCTATGAGAGGTTTTTGGAAAAGGAAAGAGTCGAGACTTGGTCAATTTGACTTTCCAACAAGCAAGTATTAAAATATCTTGTTGTCGCCATTTGCTTCGCACTCTATTGCAAAATCGCAAAAAACTTGGTCGGTGAGTGGAGAACCTGGAAGTCAAAAGCACAAAATGAGGTCTTGACGCAAGTGGCTTGTCGACATGTCGCACGGCATATATAGGTCTAAGATGGGATGTGATAAGTCGTATGATATTTGTTTCTCTTGATTCCCACCCGAGGAATGAACCGTCTTTAGGTTTCGAAGTCTGACAGAGGTGAAGATTCGGAATCGGTTGAAAGGAAGAAAATTCGTTGTGTTGAGGTGGAAATGAGTGAAAGTAGAGGCTCCCCGTGTCAATATCGGTACGTGTATTCTTTCTTCTCGGTATGATGGTTGGCAGAGACTAGAGAAAGAATCATCCCGTTCATGTCCAAAAACCGTGCCCTTGACCAGACTGACTCCTTTGCAGTTGTAATGCGGATGACAATTAAGGGGGAACAAACAATATATTGAATCTATCCTTTTTCGTACACATAGCCGGCGACTTTGCGAAAAAGAACCTCTGTTGCTGGAGGACTTGTGGTTCTCGGTAGCGAAAGAGTATGGTGCGAAAACTTTGTCTCAACCGACCTCCCTCATTCAGTACACCGCTTTAAAGGGGTATCTGATCTTGCAAACCGACATAGGAACCATATTCATTATCCTCAATTTCGCTAGAGCAGAAAACGTCGCTATCCAAAAGAAGGGGGCTGCTTCGTAACCCCCTTCTAATCTTATCGTACTAGTGAAGCATATTGAAGCATCATGCAAAAGTTGCAAGTCAAATTTCGTAATGTAAGCATTGCGAAAGATTGTCTATCGTTCCCCTTTCCGGAGAAAGAAAATGATAGTGTCACAACCGAGAGATAATTCCGGACGCATAGATCAATAATAAAATCATGGCTTGTGGATGCTATGATGTCTTTCTATCTTACTAGCTCTGCTTAGTTGGCTAGCGACCCATTTTTTGAGTTTGACTGAGCTGAGCTGGATAGAATTTTTCCGTAGGAATTTGCGTCTGTATATCGTCATGCTGCGTTGGGCGTCTATCAATTGTTGATGATACTCAGTATTTCTTATTCATCTAGGCGCAGCAAGGCTGTCGTGTCGCGAGTTAAGGATGGCGCCAATATTTCTAACATCTGCTAACACAACAGACGAAGCTAGACGATAGAGAAAATAGACGCTGAATTTGCGGATTACCGCAGGTAAACATTGATCCCACGACGGCGTCAAACGTCACGATACCCACACGAGTATCGATACTTTTTTTCGAGGACGGACAAGATCACTGTTCGCATTGAGGAAGCTTATCCTGAGTGATCATATGCCTTGATTTTGCTTTGATTCAGAAATTTGTAATTTCGACCCCATCCGGGGTATCCGAGAAAAGCAATCAGAATTGATAATTTCTCCATACTCTCTCCACAAACTGAATTTTGCGGAGTTCTGAGATTCTCCTAAGTTAGTAAGAATTGAACTCCAGTCTACTGCCTCCAGCGAGCGGAGCTGTTCTTATTTGCCAACGCGTATACATTGATACCTCGGATGACCCCGAGCAAAATCATGCGTAAACCGCATCTTACAAGTTACCAACCACCCTTCTCCACAACAACTATCACCATCCTTGTTGCTTCGTGTTTGCAGATTGAAATGTGATTTGCCTTAGCTGCCCCATGCCGGTAGATTCCAGACTCCTGGGTGATGATCAATTCCTCAAAGGAAGCCTAGTCTGATCAAGCTTAAGTTGATCTGACAATCACTGTTGCATCAGGGAGAATATATCCAGCATTGAAGCTAAATGGCATATGATCAAGCAAGTAATTGCAAGAAATTTCGGATTTGCACTAAGAAAAAGGTATGATTTCGGTGAAACCATTAACCCCGTGGGCAAGAGTACCTGGTATATGCGACCCCGCGGGGATTATTGACGCTAACATCCACATCGACTAATCACGACCCCTGAATAATATCGGCAACAATAAAACTAAATCTCAAAGCTTGCTCAACAATCTCAAGACTAAACAATGGGGAACCGCCCAACTATTCCAAATAAAGTTGGTCTAGAATCAACTTCTCCATTTTCCCCATTCTCTCCATTGTAAATGGTGGAATTACTCTCCCTGGTTCAAGTGTCAAAATGGTAACAAAATATTCGCACGAATGAGCTGCGAATCCAGTTCTCATCCAACAAAAATATGTTGCCGCTCATAGATTCCACAATAGCCAACTTGGCAAGTACATAAGATACATTGATACCTCTCCCCAAATGAATCTTTTCTCTCTCCCTCATCGGCCTCTCGTCGAACAATTAAATACCAACTTTGTCAAGATTTGCTGCGAACAGCAAAACCGCCAATATGCCGTCCGCTTTCTTCAAAAATTACCGCGTCTATCTTCTGACGGCCGTGGCTTACATGGGATCGTTACTTTTCGGTAAGTTATCCCCTCTTTCCGGATAATATCCTTTGATAAATCCTTTCCGTGTCGGCTCAATGATTTTAAACTTTTGTGCCATATCACCAAGACCAATCAAGATGATGGAACATGACTGACATATGATGGCTTATGCAGGTTACGATACCGGTGTCATGGGATCGGTATTGGCTCTCGCAAGTTTCAGAGAAGATTTCGGATTACCGCCTGATACGAAGGGATTTGGTGGATCCAAAAATGCACAGGTTTCTTCGAATGTTGTCTCTTTGCTTACGGCCGGTTGTTTCTTCGGTTCCATCGCTGCCGCTTTCTGCAATGATCGCTTCGGAAGAAAACACTCTCTTATGGGATTCAGCTTTATTTTCCTCATTGGCGCTGCTATTCAAACTAGCGCTAGCCATAGTATTGGACAAATCTATGCTGGTCGTGTTATTGCTGGTTTGGGAGTTGGTGGAATGTCCTCTATTACTCCTGTTTTCGTCGCAGAAAATGCTCCTCCCGCCATTAGAGGACGAATTACTGGAATGTTCCAAGAGTTCTTGGTACTTGGTTCTACCTTTGCTTACTGGTTGAATTATGGTGTTGCATTACACATCCCTAAATCTACTAAGCAATGGAGAATTCCAGTCGCTATTCAACTCATCCCAGGTGGATTTCTCTTAATCGGTCTATTTTTCTTGAAGGAATCTCCAAGATGGCTTGCTAAGCAAGGTCGATACGAGGAAGCCACTGCTTCCATGGCTTGGACTAGATGCACTACACCTGAAGATGAAGAAATCATGCAAGAAATCGCCGAGATTCGTGCATCCATCGAGGAGGAAATGGCTGCAACTGAAGGACTCACCTGGAAAGAGTGTATCGCACCAGCCAACAGATTCAGATTCTTTTCAGCTTTCTGCCTCATGTTCTGGCAACAATTCTCCGGAACCAATTCTATTGGATACTACGCGCCGCAAATCTTCCAAACCATTGGTATCTCAGCTGCTAACACCGCTTTGTTTGCAACCGGTATCTATGGTACTGTGAAGGTCATCACCACTGGTATCTTCTTACTCACTGGTATTGATACGTTGGGTCGTCGCAAGTCTCTCATCTTCGGTGCCGGATGGATGATGGCCATGATGTTTATTCTCTCAGCTGTCCTCGTTACCCACCCACCTGACACCAAAGCTACCACTGTCGCACCAGCATCGATTGCCATGGTTGTAATGATCTACCTTTTCGTCATCGGTTATTCCGCATCATGGGGACCTATTCCATGGGTCTATGTATCCGAGATCTTCCCCACTCGTCTCCGTTCTTACGGTGTTGGTCTCGCTGCAACTACTCAATGGTTGTGTAACTTTTCCATCACCGAGATTACACCAATTGCCGTTTCAAACATTGGATGGAGAACATTTTTGATGTTCGGATTCTTCTGTTTTGGAATGTGTGCATGGTCATTCTTCTTCATTAAGGAGACGAAAGGAAAGACATTGGAAGAGTTAGATATTCTCTTCGGAAGTGTCAACGCCGAGCGAAGAGCTCAGGACGTAGAGGCAGTGCTCCGCTCAAAGAAGGATATTGTTCATCACGAGGGTGACGAGTCAGTAGGAAGCAAGGCTGGCACTATTAGAGTCGAGGACAGTCCTGAGAAGACTGCCTAGATGGGATAATGATTTGGTTATGTTTATGATGGATGTTATATATAGACCCCGACGTCTGCTTGCCTTAAGTTTGGCCGCAGTACAGCCGATGGCACTTTGATAGATGAATGAACGGCATATTAATGATAATAAAATATATCTTTTGAAAATACTGAGCCCATAACTTTATCTGTGTGATGTATTTGAGCAATGATCCAGGATCTAGTGATTTGTAGCGACTACCAAACAAGCTGAGGTGGATTGTGACTGGCATTCTTTTTCGAATACTATATTTGAACATTTCAAATTGTCCACTCTCATAGCTTAGTGAAGAACTTAAACCAGTTACATAGTCGACAATAGCATCCCTGACATGTATCCATAGATATTGACTCTACCTTCCCCATAAGATCCTCAATTTCTCGAGAATCAAACGTTTTAAAAAATTTGATTCAATCACAATCACTATCTTCCTGGTGGAACCTGGTAATGGACAAGTGTTAAGGAGAGGTGCTACTGAAAGAAATTCAGGTTATCAGTCATAGTTTCTAGTGACACTCAAGTATTGTCACTTCAGATTCATTTTTTTCTCATTGAATGGAATTAATGAAGTGGAAAAGCGAATAGTAAACATCAAGCTTAAAATTTATTCACTGCTCATGAAGCCGTCATGATCGTTCATCATCACTACTCATTTTTGATCTCCATTCTTCAATTTTTTAAATACCGCTCAAGGCGGTCCATGAAAAATAAATACAAGTGAATAAATCAAAGCTCGCCATACAGTAAGTTGTCAAAAGATCTACCGCCTCCCTAATTCCAAGAGGTGAGGTAAATATCTTCCAAATCGAGAGCTTTGATGGCCTAGGCTAGGCATTCTAAGATCAACCCATATTTGAATTGTCTGTGTATACAAATGGTTTTATCTATCGATTTTGATATTTGGGGCGGAAAACGTGCTCTTTGAGGGAGGAGTATTAGTTGCGGTTTCTACCATGCGAAGGAGAATATATAGATGCGTATTTGAGATCTACGAATTGTATTTTTTGGATCTATTACTCTCTCTTCCTCTTTCTCGTATATGGGATATTTGATGTAATGATTAGTTCTACCTAGCGAAATCAACCCAAAGTAACATATTGATTCATTTTGCGGCCTCAATCGTCATTGCTGCATACTTGAATTGTTTGAACACGGTTGTCTTTCACAAAAGTAAGCTGGCAGGTCCTGTGTTGTACATATGTCGAAGAATCACGAATTCAATGGAATGGCCTCTATTTTCTGCAAAACTACGAATCACTGATACTACGAACATAGCCCTCCATCTCCAATATTTGCATTGCTGGTATCTACCCCTCCAGTTCGCTTTCATAGTGAGATATATGTGTTCAGAGATTGACCCCAAAAACAATGACAAAGAACTGAAAGATATATGTACTGCAAGGCTGGGAGTCAATTTATCTATATTTGATGTCATCGTGCGAAAATGATTGTGATACTGACATGTTAAATTTGGAAGCGGAATCTAAAATGAAGTTCCTTCTCGCTTTGAGCCTAGTATCACCATAAGCATTTATTTTCGACACGGCCGTATGAACATTCTTGACTATAATCTACTTTTGATAATCTAATAATGATTGTGATGAATGATGCGAGCATCGATTCCCACGCATTTTTGAAATTCCATATGCAAGCTTGTGGTTGACAGCACAGAATGACATGTATTCAACCCCTTTATGCACGCACGAACAATATCGTCATCTATAGATCATCTGTAGATGTAAAGTGTACATGCAAATAAGGTCAATAAATACTCTGTATACAGATTTTCCATAACTATTTATATTAAGATTCACATGTTCACCGCCTTGGGCTCTTCCAGATCTAGAAACATACCAACAAATAAAATTCTCGTATTCTGCCTCGAAGGATTTTAACCTCACTTGGTAATACGTACAATAATTTTTTCACAGTGGAGTCAGCTTATATGTCCAACACTGCGCCATCGCTTGATGAAAGAAATTGGTTTCATGTTGGATAGGGACAAATTACATTTCTTTATTTCAAATGTGCTGATATATGAGTGAGAAATTGTGTTACATCCACCAACAAACATCTATTTTCACAATCCCATGAACTTAGCGAAGACCCACTTTGGGGGTTATGTTATGGGTATTCATTGTGATGTGATTATTGTTTCGTTGTTATTATTGGTTCATTTCTATTTAAGAACTGGACTGTGGAGGACATGCCAGTGAAAATCCTCTATAGAATAAATGAATTATCAGACCAAAATTCACATATAGCCAAGCATCCTGGCTATTTGCAAACGCCATCCATCGAGCCAAGATCATAATATACCTCTAAATGATCCTACTACCACTCTGTAGATTCACAATAGAAGATTCTTAGGTGTAGAAGTGCAAATGCACCAATCAACATCAGGAACAAATTTGTCATACCCTCCATCCCCCTCTTTGACATCGGCACTTACCCAAGCCAACCTCGGAGATACCCATATCAAATTTCCTTGAGTTCCCTCCGAGCTAAAATTAACGGATCTGAAATTCCCTCATTGGGGTAATTCCAGTTGTGCAATTGGTCCAGAGGATTCTGTTTAGTAACATGTAGAGAACCAATACCCATATTCACATACAAGTCGTGGAATCCATCATCCTGACTACCATGAAGCATCTCAATTCTGACACGTTGTGGAGAGATCGCAACTCATTCACTTGAAGATAGCGTGTGAAAAACGCCTAATGCCAATCTTCATTGTGTACTTAAGTCTTCGATCGAACCTCGTCTTGAGAATTTCCTCTATCCTTCAACAACCTCAAGCACATTCCTTTTGATAAGTGTCTCTCCTCCTCTTTGATTTAGATCGGTCTGTTTATCTTGGTATCTTTTGTACATAACTTTCCTTCATACAAACATACACTCCTTTAGTACAGCAGCGCTTTACTATCTTTCAACATGCAGTCTCTTGCAGTCTCGCTCCTCTGCACTTTTTCGTGTTTGGCCTCAATGACTAGTGGTTACAAACTGGTTCATAACTACGACCACACCAACTGGTTCACTTCATTCGTCTATGAGGATGTTAGTATTCCTAAGACTATCTTCGATCTAAGAATGGCCACTAACTCACATCTAGCTCCCCGACCCAACCAATGGCAACGTCAACTATGTTTCTCTTGCTGATGCTCAGAAGCTTGGTTTGACCAAAGTCATCGGTAATCAAGTTTACATGGGTGTTGACAATACTACTGTTCTCTCTGACAAAGTCAATGGAAAGCGCAACAGCATTTGGGTTGAATCTGTTCATGAATTTACTCATGGTATTCTTATTGGTGACTTCGCACACATGCCCGGTAGCGATTGTGGAACCTGGCCTGGTTTGTAAGTGCTAACTCGTCCGCTACTTCCCTCATGAGAATTAGCCGCTAACAGATTCGCTAGCTGGACAATCAGAAATGGTGACGGCCCTTATGGTGAAATCGATATCCTCGAAGGATCCAACGACATCACCCAAGCCTTCATTTCTCTCCACACCGAGAACGCCTGTACCTTCAATTCTCCCAAGTCCGCCGAGCTCGGTACTGTCAACAACGGTAACACCGACTGTCAATTATCCAACGGCGCAGGATGTTCTGTTGAATCGACTGCCAACTCTTACGGTACCCCTTTCAACAAGAATGGCGGTGGTATTTATGCTATGCAATGGACATCTAACTTTATCCGAGTCTGGTTTTTCGCACGTAGCAAGATCCCCGCGGATATCACCGCTGGTACTCCAGACCCAACAAAGTGGGGTACACCTACTGCAAACTTCGATAGTGCGAATGGTGGTTGTGATATCGATGCTAATTTCCCTGCTCAGACAGTCGTAAGTGTTATTCTCATAGTTATGCTTTTCATTTCCCACTGCCTCAATCCTCCTCATCCCCGACTCTGACGCTCCGTATCCATCTCTGCTCCCACCAAACTAACTCTCACTCCAGTACTTCGATACCACTTTCTGCGGCGCAGGAGCTGGCGGCCAAGCCTGGTCCGACTGGTCCGACTGCCCGGCAAAGACCGGCTACTCCACCTGTCAAGAATACGTCGCCAAGGTTCCCCACGCCTTCGACGACGCATACTGGCTTGTTAACTCTGTCAAGATCTACCAATAGACTTGATTATTCTTTCTTCTCTTCTTTCTTTTTGCTTGTCTACTTGCATTCATCTTCGTCTTCGTCCCACAGATTGCGCGACCATTCAACTATAGGAATTTTTATCATACCAGTACTGGTTATGGGTATGATTTGTACAAACAAGATAAAATGGATAATATGTATAAAAGCAAGACGGGTGATGAGGATCTATTTTCATTCCAAAAAAAGCTGTGATTTTTAATGCATCACATTGCACGGATTTGGGATGGGTTAATGGTGTTATTATGTTCATAAGGGAGAGCGGTTTGGTTTCTACTTCAGCAGCTTCTAAGATGTGTTCTTTTTGATTGCATCGTGGAGATTGGCTGATAGTTAATTGTATTCTGCTTCCCACGTCTACATTGCCAAAATTTGCTTGTGATTCCATATCATGTGATGGCGCCATGCATGCTTCTTGATTGTTTGGATTCCAATTAGGACATGTCGAAGTTTCAGTGAGATCATGTAGCTTCAATGCATTAACACAAGATTACAAAGAGCTCAAGGTTCGGATACCAGTAGGTATTTTAGCTTTCTACTTCCCTTGCACTTGCTAAAGGAAGAAGTCAACATACGCACTTGCTGTACAGAGAACCATTTATTGCGTCCATTCAGTAATTGACCTACCCAGTATTTGAAAATTCTATTAGTCGTCCTCTACTTCTACATCATGCTTTTCCTGTCGATCCAATTATATCCATTTGGTGTTCAATCAATTCCTGGATCAAACTAGTTCCCGTCTCCATGAGTTCCGTCAAAGGAACTTTCCCCGTGTTTTCCGCTACATATTTATTGTACGTATTCAAAACCAAATCATTTAGATTGCACCTTGTCATACCCCCCTTGATACAGCCTCTCATTGTATCATCCGGGAATGTATTCGTGCCGTGAAGAACTAACCTTACTCGACCATTTGTAGCTTTTCTTATGCTCTCGAGTCTGAGAATCAATATTAGCTTACAACGATACCACTGAAACGCATTTCAAAGAACCATCTCATACATACCTATCAAAATCCAGCTTGATATTTTCCACTCCACCGTAGTTCCCGTGCACATTTCCAAAAGCCGGCGCCAAGAAATCTACTCCTGTTTCTACAAATCCGAGCGCCTCTTCAGGAGTTGTCAATAACCCCTCCAAGTCCCCCGTATCCTTCACACCATCCTCGCCCCCATTAATCCTACCACATTCAGCCTCAACTGCTATGCCTTTTTCTCGCAATATTTTTGTCAATTTTGTTGTTTTGGCTAGATTCTCTTCTTTGTCATAATGCGACATATCGACCATTATACTATCGAAGAGTCCCATGTCTGCAGCGGCAAGAATTTCATCTTCAGATTGTGCATGATCCATGTGTAGAACTATGGGGACCGTGGCGGTGCGACAGGCGGCGGCTGCGAGGTGGATTAGGAGGGGTGAGTAGTGGAGGGACCAGGGAAAGAGAAGGATTTGTGCGGGGGAACGTTTGCGTTCTGCGGCTCTGACGACGGCGGTTATAGTTTCGAGATTGTACTGGGGATAAGACATGAGCTGTTTGTTTTTAAAAGGATAGAGGAGTGAACTGTACTCACGGAAACTACTCCTACAACACCATATCTGCCATCCTCTGCTGCTTGAAGCATGCGGATTGCTTTGTTATCTTGCATTGATTTTGCCATTGTACAAGCTCTTGTTTGAGATAAGTATGAGAGAGGCTAAAGCTATGCAACGGAAGACAAGAGCAGCATGGAAAAATACTTAGGACGTAGCTACATTATCAATTGAGATTGCTCTTCTGGTACAATATAAACAATATGACGACGATTGAACGAACAGTAGAGTTTCTTCGGTGGGGCTTATCCCGAGCCGTTCCGATATGGTGGGGGGGTATTCATACCCCGCGAAAGTGAAAAGCATTCGGAATACCTTCCTATTTTTTGAGCTGACAAGAAGTATAAAGCTTTATAAGATTGAAGACTGAGAATACCTACCTGTAAGTTGCTCCGTTTTTAAGGATGAAAAATGTAGGACGAATTGAAGTATTTCGGATATACGAGGTGCATGTGAGCAGTGCCATCTTCTACTATCTTGCCCTACTTTGACTGGAAGTCATGTTAATACAAGTGCTTATCTTGTCTGCAGTAGCCATGTTCCAACAGCTTCAGGATGCTTGACTCTAAAATCTGCCGTATTCTAATCTGCCGACATTTCCTGCATTGGTCAATAGTGACGGGCGGAAAATACACGAGGAAGAGATATGAAAATTACTGAAGAGAGTCTGATCATAATCATCTGCCGGCAAAAGAATGAACGGTCGGTTTATGTGACATCTGAGGGTGTCTTTATTCGCCAATGAGTCTGATGTCTGCACAGATGAAGCCTTCAATATACCAGATGAGAGCTAGTAGCATTTTACGAATTATCGATCATGACTCGCTTTGAATATCGAGGGCAAAGCAGGAAAAGTAAATGTAGTATGGCGTCAGTTTTTCGAAACTCATCATTGTGGAGTTTGGCAGTGAATCAGATGCAGATCTGTAGATGTGTTGTAGGGAAAACCTAGAAAGCTTTCGAGAGACAAAGATATGCAGACAAACGATCTGTGCTCGATCGACAGAGCTGTGATTTTGTACGCACCTAGCTTTCCTGATCTGCCATTCAAGGTGTAAATTCTGCCACGATTGTACCGCAGCTTTGTTAGTCTGGCCCAAATCGTCTTTATGTGTAGTCTATGCCTTTATGGTGAGCCAGATTGAGACTTAGGTGGGATGACCCTCTCTGGTAGATCCTAGAGGCCGGTAGGTAATTTGGCAACATTTTGTTGTTGAACATATGGAAATGACAGAGATAGAATAGTGCAAGAAATGTATATCAAATATGGTACATCATTGTTTGAAGCTGGCGAGATGTTGTGCACAAGTACGACGAAGCAGGAGGCAGAGAGAATAGAAGAAACTTGAGTCTAGAAGAAACAGGCGGTGATTGCCTCGATGGCTCCGATGCTAACATTTCCAAAGATCATCATGCTGACGTGTGAGTATAAGCTCGCATGTACATGAAGCTCAAGAGAAAGAAGAAGAGCTTTTCGGTTTGAATGTGTATACGCAAACAAGTCGATCTCTGAGAACTATTGACGCGCCACTAACTTGGCGTGTCTGTAGTTGAGTAAACTTTTGAGATAAAGATAGAAATTCATCAATACCGGTATATTCATCGGTACCTGTCTTGCCAAGACATGTCAACAATGGAATGCCCTGAATAAAGTAAAGGCATGCGAATCTGAACCCTAAGATAGATCCTTTAGCTGTTTCATGACTTGGCGAATGGGTTCCATGATCTAAAGTCTTGAATAAAGATTCTGAAAGATACTAGACAGGATTTTCAACTTCGAGAGCGTCCGTGGGTAAAGAACACCTGGGCACCTGGGCACCCACTTGCCTGTGGCTATGTGGCTGACGGATAAAATATAGTAAGATAATGCCCAGCATCTGGCATGTGAACCTGAACCAGGAAAACTCTACTGTTGAAGTTGTCAGATAACTTGGCATCGTTATGTCTCGAAGGCTGAAGGGGCCGAAGGCGAGAGGGAGTCGGTGGCAGAATAGTAAGATCTTACATGCCCAACCTTGGAAACCTTGACTAGATGCCTGACAAATGTGCCTTCGACCGTCAAACCATGGCGAGTTTACAAGTCTACGAAGTAATCTTTGTAAACCATCGTACCATCTCCATTCTTGCTCTCTGTTGGACGTAATTTTTTACAATCCACGTCACTTATTTCCTCTCGCCATTCTTATGAATGTCACCATCCACAACTCGACAGCTAAATCGACTTCAACTCGCTTCTAGCAAAAGCAACATACATAAACTTCTAAATGAAAGGAGGTTGTATATGTGGGGAGATCAGGGGTTCACTCCGTCTCAGATATTGAAAAGCTTACGCGGACATCCCAACGCACAAGCCATAGAACGGTTATCCCTTCTGTTGTCATCACCAACTTCTAAAGCCTATTCATCTTGACCTACCATCCCAGATCTCCGTTACCATACGAATTAGTTCAATCGTCCCACATAAACATATTAATTGTGAGAGTCTAGGAGAATTAGTAGTGGATTGTTCCCCGCGACTTGTGAACTTTCTTGAAAATCACCTTGCACGACTTTCGACTGGGCTCATGGAGTCTAGAACTTTTCTTAAAAGTTACGACGGGAGACAGAGGATTACAGGCTTCAACGGCGCGAAGTTGAAACGTCCCTTTTGAATGGAAGAATACAAGCGTGAAGCCTTGGCGATCCGCTGGTGATATTTCCCCTGATCATCTTGTTTATATGCAGGTAGGAGCGATCATTACAATGTAGGACATCAGCTAAAACCTAGATATTGGTTTAGAGGATGATTGTAGACGCCATGCTTCGTTGACATCATGAGAGGGTTCGATGGTAACATCACAACCTAGACTGTCGTTATTTTTGCAATGACATGGCAAATTGTCTGACAGTTTACACGTAAGGGTGAAGCTGTTTGGCCTTACACCTAATCTATCTTCACGGTTCTACATATATTTGCTCCAAGTGTTTTGCAAGAATGTTCCGTAGAAATTAAGGTGTGAGCTAATGAAACAAGGTTCATCTGGACATTAATTTATCTGTAAAGCTACAGGTGCAAGGCTCAAAGAACAAGCTTATCCTTGACTTTTGCAATTGGAAAGCTTTTTGTTATGGATACGCTAGCGCTAACTTCTTATAGCACACCCCAGATTGAGTAGATTGACGTTACCTTTTGCCTTTGGGAAAGATACCAGGCCCTCATGTATATTCAATAAGTCATTAGCGCGCATACTGATCACCTTGTGGGGGTAAGAAGGCATCTTCCGATCAGCTAAGAGACATCGGTTACTTTGTAAATGCCGGCTCATCACATACTTCCTGCTCCCTTCCATTACCTATACCGTGGAGGAACGCAGACCCATTGGCAGGGGGTTGGTAGTGTTTTCTGAAACAATTATCTGCCAGTATCATTGAACCCCTATACTTGAATAGGGTGATGATTACCACCAAGTAGGTGACGGCAAGATGGATATAAGGATGTGTGAATCCCACATTATTTTCAAAAACCAGTTTTAGAGCATCCAGTCTTTTCAAGCTTCATTCTTCTCTTCCACATCTTCAGCTCCAGGTCTGAGCCTTTTCAAACAACTCTCCATATCACTCTCTCAAAAAAAAACTTCTTCAACTTTTTCCCCAATCAGCTTCCTCTTACCAACCACACTTCAAGATTCTCAAATTTTAACAAATCAACAAAATGCATTTCTCAAAGATTATCGCTGCTGCTTTCCTCGCCGCTCCCCTCGTAGCTGGCCAATCTTCCGCTTTCGGTGGAGCTGCTCCAACTGGTACTGGTGAGATTGGATCCCGCCCTACCGGTGGTCCTCAACCATCTGGTAGCGCTGGTGGATTCGGCGGTGCTTCTCCATCTGGCGGTTTTGCCATGGCTTCCGGCGGAGCTGGAGGACGTGGAGGACACCACAGTGGTGGTGCTCAACCAACTGGTTCATCAAACTTCGGAAACGGCAAGGCGCAACCGTCCGGTGTTGCCCAAGCTTCCGGCAAGGGGGGTCACAGAGGTGGAAAGGGTGGAAAGGGTGGAAAGGGAGGTGCTTCTGGAAGTGGCTTCGGTGGTGCATCAAAGACCGATTCATCTGGAGCTAAGGCCACCGGAGGTGCCAAGGCTTCCGGTCATCAAAGACGTCAACAAAGCAGTGCTGCCTTTGCACCAGGTGGAGAGATGCAGCAACCAACTGGCTCCGCCGGTGGCTCTAAGCCAACTGGAGCTCGTCCATCCGATACTGCTCAAGCATCAGGTGGATTTGGAGGTCACAGCGGAGGTCATAACGGAGGCCACAACGGTGACCACGGACACAGCAGCCAAGGAGGTGCTTCCCCAACTGGAGCCAAGTTCCGTAACTTCAAAGCTAGGCCATCTGGTTCTTTCTCCCAAGGTGGTGCTAAACCAACTGGTGGATTCGGTGGCCAACAAGGTGGTGCCTTCCCACCTGGAGGGTTCGCTGGAAACCAAGGTGGTTTCCCATCTGGCTTCCCATCTGGAGCTGCCCCATCAGGATTCGGAGGGGCTGCCCCATCGGGCTTTGCATCTGGCTCTGCTGCCGCTCCTCAACCTACATCTTAAGTGGTTCAATTATTGCATGGCTTATGCATGACTTACTGTTTTTACATGATTGTTAGTTTTTGGCGATGTTCAAAAGATTTGTATATGTTATTGGTATTAGGGGTATTGGTGGGACCCGAGACAGCACACCCACTGTGTTCTTTCTTTTCGTGCTATTGGCTCTGGGAGCATTTTTGTGTATATCTTGGATGGCTCTGTATATTAGAGTGATGATCGATGAATTTGATCTTTGATCCTTTTTAAATATTCTTTTGCATTCCGTGATTTTCTGGTAAACCTTTTGTGCTAAAATGTCATTTTTCAAGCGAGGCAGGAGGGTGGCGATTTCAGTCCCATTATCGAAGACAAATCAGGCACTGAAGAAAACTATTCGATTTCGGAATTGATGTTAATCTCGGACTGTGTTTGACTTAATTCGTTCGTCTTGTCCGTGAGTGAGGGTAAACAACGGATGTATTTTTGCTGATCGATTGGTTATCTGCGACGCCTAGATATAGCTTTTATCTATTTGAATTCTTTATATCTTCAGATAGTTTCTGATATGGTTTAACAAAGGCAAAGTACGTTTGGAAAATCATGGTAATAGCTACATAAAATCCAAGTTGCTGCAAACATGATCTATGAAATGGTCAGCCACATGTACATGAGGTCTGCTACAAGCCACATTTCATAAGCCACACAATATATTCAACGGTTCCAGCTTTTAAGGTTCTCTAGATCATTCATTACACAACAGCACAAAATTTATTTACTGCATGTGTATCCTCTCGATTGTTTTCATCAATCTTAGACTTTGGCTTATGAACTTGACCATTGATAGAATGGGTAGAAGGGAAAATGCGTTTTGGTATGCTTTATATCTAATTGTTTTGAAGAAATATTCGCTGGCAAGTGCTTCACTTCCCCCGTTTTCCCCAAGCAAAATGTAGATTTCTTCTTGAAGGACCTCTTTATCAAGTTTAAGAAAAAATCCGTGGGTCTAAAAATCATCCGGTTGCCTTGACCTTTTGTTCTTTGAGGAGGCCGCAAAAGAAAGCTGATTCATGGGTTCTTCCTAAAGTATGGTGTGTCCTGCTCGGGTGAAAACAAAGGATTTATTTTTCTCTCAAAGAATCAACAAACTTGACGACGTGCTATTTATTGTTCCCGTCATAAGCTTGTTTATTTCTGAATTGCTCAAGAATGGGAATTCGGACTTCATGTTAGACTTTTATTCTACCATTTCCCGACTTTTCTCGCCGACATACATCGAGAGGATACATGTCGTTGATAGTGCTCATCTACTGAACATTATCAGAATTCAGCTACAATAAACAGTGTCCCGAAGTATCCATAAGTATGGTTGCCAAGAATCCCCTCACAAACTGGGACGCCAAGTTTGGTAGATTCCACAGCATTTGGTCCACCCAGGCCGGTACGGAATGGGCCAGTAAATATGGAGTTTTACCAGAATTTATGGACCCCACACAACTCTTTTTTCCTTATAAAAAGTCGGGTATGTATTCCATCTCTAGTTCAATATCACATAACTAATCAACCTTAGCTTTAACACCAAACGCAGTTGATAACCAGCAATTAAAGGCTGAAAGGAGGAATCATCAGAAATGGATTCTGTCAGGGTATTGGCCCGAGCTGTTAGAAGAAATCGGAGCATATCCTTATCCTTTAAACTATCTACCGACTCTTACCAATCCTATAGAGTAATTGGCCTTTTCTTATATTGATCTATCCATGACTTATTCGGCCGATGTCCTCAAGAGACATGTCACTCATTTCACAACATCTTCTCTTGGGGTTATGAACACTTGGAAAATGTGTCTAACCATTATCTAGTCCACTTTTTGAAATAGATCAATGGCAGCCTCGTCACACACTAGAGACATGGCCAGTGATTCAGATGGAATTCCCACCGCACAAACCATTCTTCCCTGTAGAGCCAGACAATACTGGGGTATGGACGGCAGATAATCCTGCTGTCTGGAGACGTTTGGACCCGATATTGAGATTGTGTACTAGATTCTTACATCATTCTGCGGCTACATGCTGGGTATGTGTTATAATTCTTCACAATTATTTGCTTTCGTATTAGTACTTATGATTGACTCCATAGCTTGATGGTTTCTATTTTGGGAATCGTACAGATGTTCCTGAACGCCTCGATCGTCGTCCTGCTTGGCAGAAACTGGCACAGGGACCTTTGAAGTTCTTCCACAAACGGGGTCCTGAGCTTCGAAGTAATGCTCAAACAGCTGAAAAGACTGAAGTGTTGAAGGAAGTGATGCGTAGAAGAGTTCAATTTGGCATTGGTTCCTCCTTTCTCACACCTTGGGATAGGAGAACGCCAAATGGATCTGGTTTGGGTTGGGAAGGCTTCACAATTGTGTCAACAGAGCGGCAGAATAGAGATCTTGAGTTTTACACAGAAAACAAAGCTTGGGTTGAAATAGCCCTCGAACTGCTTTTACCTTTGTTCAGGAATGATCTATCACCAATAGAGAGATTATCCTGCCAATTTTATATTGCCTCGACTCTTATGCATGAGTTTGCAGTAAAATTCATTATTCTAACTGCTTGGGTAAGCGCTGACAATATTCTAGCACGCATTAAACCAACTTCAAGATCCTCCAATGGGGCGAACCATCGTACGAAATGAGCCGGCGTTCGGTGGCGATGTGAATGGTAATGGTGCTGAGGTATTTTGCGAGTAAGCTTGATCGGTTTATTACATGCTTCGTTTTTGCTACCTAGTTCTGTTCCTCGATCTCAAACCCCACTCCACTTTTATGCTTTATCATGTACAATACTGTTACTTCCGTCCCAATGGAGCTCTAGCTTCTGTTTCTTCATACCCTCCCCTCCCCCTCCCCCCCAAAAATTGTCCTTTGATAGGCAATACTGACTTTTTGATCTTGTAGGCTAGGCTATTCATTTGTCAAAGGGGTCAGCTAAGACTTTAGTTTCAGAGACCCCAAAGACATAATAACTGACCACTTGTATAGCTCTTCGGTGCAATGCCAAAGATTCTTAATCCTGGAAATATTGTTGGTGCTCCCGCAGTAGCTTTATTGCTCAGTAAAGAGATTCCCACACGTAAGTACGATAAGGGAATTTTCTTGCACGAAGCTGGTGAGCATTTTGCACAATATGAGGAGACGAATAAGCTTGTACCTATCGTGTCAAAATATTACGAGTTTATACATAACGACGAATTTTGGGATAGAATGGCTTCAAACTTTGGCGTGTCTATAATAGCACCTACACCAGCTCCAATTGTTGTTATTGAACCAGATCCCTTACGTCCGGAGTTGTCAAGTTATGTCTTCAACAATTCTCAAAGAAAGTGGATGTATGAGGTGCAAGCTGTAAAATCGAATGCTCAATTGCTCTCATCATTAAATCCAGAACAGAGAAAGGCTTATGATGTCGCGTTGTTACAGAGAGACAATGAGGTCAACAAGTTAAGAAGGGTGCAATACCTTCATCTGCGGGATCAAACAGAAAGAAGTGTCAATGAGTGTAATAGTGCTCTTGAACGTTACTTTACACAAAGCCCCGGAGAACTCTCAGATTCTGAAATACTTCGACTGCTCCGTTGTTTTGCCGAGAATCTAAAGCGCGAGGCCGAGCAAGAAACACAATGCGCTATTGACTTCATTGCAGAAGCCGACCTGAAAACCCCAAGCAACGTTGAATTTATGGAAAGACTGTTAAGCACAAACCGAGTGGCGAGAAAGATGGTCGCAAAAGCAAGTGCAGACTGTGATCGGGTTGGTGTAGCTACACTTGGACCAGACTTTCATGATCTACGTGCGACGTTCGACAGAATCTTGTACATATTGCGCGCTATCAATTTCATTCTCGTTCAGAAAGTGAAGCCCGATAAAAAGGAAACCTACGTGGAGGTAATTGATCGAGTTGGAAGTGCTATGGACTATGAAGGACTTGAACGTTTGCAATCAAGTGATGCACAGAATGAAAAATCACAGGTAGATTCACAAGAAACAATAATAGCCCAAGCCATGAACGCATACCAGAAGCATGATTATGACGAATGCCATCGGCTTGGCAGAATATCGTTATCTCAATTCGATCTGGAAGGATATGCTCAAGGAATAGGAATGGTGCTGATAGCTATGCATCCTGGAGAGATCAGACGCAGGTGGTGTTCCCGGCAAGGGCTTTACGTTCTCAATATCATGGCTCAATCAAACGCCACGCCTTTCCTAGAACTATGGGTAGAAGTTGCAACGCAGGTCCATGACGCCATTGAGGATCTAGTTGTGAATATGGGCATTGGGGATGCTTTATGTGTATTGGGAATTGATTGAAATTACTTATATGAAACTAGTCGGTCAAGAAAGGCGGAACTCATCACAGTTATAAATTCGCATTGTTGAGAACTGATTGAATCATGCTGGGGAAATATACCAATACGAGGGGATTTGCTTTGTCATCTTATCCGACCCCACAAGTTCATAAAACTCTTCTGTCAACATAGATTGATATATTGAAGAGAGACGAATTCTCAGACCGGCTTCACGTCAAGTTCGAAACATGAAACGTCAACAACCCACTATAACCACCAACTTCTTCAAAGCGTTCATGTCACCAACTCATCGAGAAGGTCAAAGCACTAGACATCAGGAGCTGTATTCACTTTCTTTACTGGCAGTATCTTGGGATATCATGCAAGCATGAAATATTGTCTTCAACTTTGTAATGCAAAATACCATTCCTCAATTCGCCCGACCCGGATAGCCGTATAAAACAAACCGGGAATGTGTTTATCAGTAGAAGAACTTCATCCGAATTTGAACGCTCAGATATCTTGGCATGAAGATAGAAGTCGAGATGGCACATTTTGTGCGTGGCCAGTCGTGTATTGTCGCGAGATGGTTTGAGGCCAAATTTGACACTGTGGGCTGGTGTTCATATTTGCTCTTTCTCGCTGACCTGAAATGAATTTACTCTGGATTTCCGAACCTACCTACAGGAGACGAATCTCATCTATTTTCCTTTGGTCTGGACTTAAAACCAAACATGGACTGATCGACACATGAAATGCAATGTTATTTTCACAAAAACATATTTACTCAGAAATATTGGGACTTACTATCCTATTCGATATTCATTTTGTTTAATTGACCATAAGAATCCTGAAAATCTATGGCATCCCAAATTTATCCACCTGGCTTCGGGGATGAAGAAGCGCAAGGAGGTGGTGCAGATTGGTGGGAAGGAAATCAGCTAGATGGCGGAGATGAAGGGCCAGGGCCAGCAAATATGAATGCAGGTACTGATATGGGCAACGGGAATAATATGGGAACGAATAATAATGGCAATAATGGCAATAATGGCAATAAGCCACCTCCCCGCCCTCAAAATTCAAACAGCCCTCCCTCGACCACCAATCCTCCAGCTACGACTAGTAGCTATGAAACCGCGATATCTACAAACACTATTGCCACCAGTACTGCTGCTGCGTCAACTACCACATTTCCATCTTCATCATCATCATCATCAGCATCATATATATCCTCTACATCTATAAGTACCAATACCACTAGTACAGACGATACTTCAACTTCAACGTCATCTTCATCGTCTTTTTCCACACCTACGCCGACAATCACAGCTACAAGCTCCAACCCCTCAACATTTCTTGCACCAACCACCTCAACTTCATCCACCTCCGCCACCTCCACCACCACATCCTCTTCCACGATTGCCGCGACTCCCCTTTCCAACACTGGATCCGGCACCCAATCAGTCGGCGTCACCGTCCTCCCGTCCGCAACCTCAACTCAGCACGGCCTGAGCAAAGGCTCCATCGCCGGTATCATAATCGGGTCACTAGCCCTCTTAGCTCTCATTCTAACAACAATATGGTATTTCCTCCGGCACAAGAAGAAGAATAAACAGCACCGGAAAAGTATCGGCGGATTCGGTGTTGTCGAATGGAATGGTGGTGGAGCGGGAGGCGATATGACACAAGTTAGCGAATCACCTTCCTACGACGGCAAAATTATTGCTGGGATGGGAGTACAGAGAACCCTAACATGGAACACCATGCGGAGTCTCACTGGTGCTCGCACTCGCGCTGGTAGTTCCATTTCCCAAACTCCTTCTACATCTTCAACAGCATCTCAATCTACGCTACAAAATCCCTTTACAGATCAACCCCAACTCTCTTCCTTTTCCTTTCCGTTCTCTCCCTCGCCACAACAACCAAAACCCCCTAATCACCCAACCTCAAATGTAACGACAATCGAAGAAGGACCTCATGAAGACATAGTCGATTTCGGCGACTCGATAGATTGGATACGTAAGCGAGATCGCATGCGAGATAGAGAAAGGAGTGGATTGAGAGGTCCGAATCTGGGAAGTGGGGTGGGAGAAGGAAAACCGGATTGGAGATATTCGGTCAGAGTCAATGGGGGTGGGAATAATCTTTAATCTGAGGGATTGATTTGTACGAATGTATGGCTATGGAGGATTGAATTTGGTTTTTTGAAATTTCGTTCGGGGAGCGAATATTGGGTCTTACTTGTGAGTCGTGATGTATTATATGGGAAAACATGGGTATGGAAATGGATGGGTAAAACGGACATAGAGTATTTGGAGATGGAAATGAGATTCAGATGGCGAATTCGATGATTTTGATTTACCCTCTAGTGCGGGCCATGTGGGATTAGAATAGATGAGATATAAATGCAGGTTTTGATATTTGGATTGGCCGACCGAGTAGATTCTGCTGAGTCCGAATTTAGAGATATGCAGCAACGATTTTACTTATTTATTTACATCAATTGCCCTTCAATTTCGTACTGCCGTAATCATTCCAGAGACCTACCCGCATAACTTTTATTACTCGGACGTCCAAGGTCACACCCGTGCATATCCTCATTGAAGCTACAAATCAATCCTCTCCAATAATTCCCTTCCCTCCTTCCCCTCTTCTCCTCTGTCTTTCCTTTCATAAGCTCCCTCTCCACTATCTCCCGTATTCGTACACTCAGTAAACCCATTCTTAGTACTTCCATCATGTGTGATCACAGCACAGAAAACGGCAGATTTATAATCGGTTGCAATGCTTCCAATAACGATGCGATCTGCACCCGGAGAAGTGGGATGCGAACCAGTATATGTTGCGCCGTTGGAGAGAATAGGAAATTCGAGGTATGGCTTTTTGGCGGCGGGGATGAAGGTGAACTTTTCGTAGTCTGGGCGGAAGGGATTAGTGGAGAAAAGTGGGGGTGGTAATAGCGGAGCTAACCATTGTAAGCATGAGGATATTTATCCTTTCCAACTGTTTTCTTCTCAGATGCGAGCAGTAATGCTTGTTTACATGCTGCGTCTATGGCTGATTGATCATAGGTGGACTCATTATCGCAGTTGCAGCCAGTGGGTTCATCGTCTGCGAAATAGCGTTAGTATAGTAGTGTGCCAAGAGGTTCGGAGAAGGAGTGCGTACAGATGGTTGCCATCGTAGAAAAATAGTAGTTTCAGATTTGTAGATATCAGAATATAGATAAGCTAAGAGAGAATGAGCATGGGCGAAGAAGTGAGGGTAGTTGAAGAGAAATACAATATTTATACTCTCCCTTCTCTTTCGTATCAGCAATCAATCCACTTACTTACCCTTTCTTATCTTTTTCCCCTCATACATGAGCTGACGTAGAACCCTACATATCCATGGAGGTTACACGATACCCTGTCATGATAGCACATGTAGCCAGATCCAAGTACGATATCCTAATGCCGGCATATTTGAGAGTGGAGGGATTAGTACCAGAGGACAGAAATCAAGCTTTCGGGCAGATTGCGCGGCCCGTTTGTTTTGGCGTGTGGGGCGTGGGGAAAGCATTGGAGATTGTAAGAACACGTTTTGTGCGTATTGAGATACAGGTTATCAGGTTATCAGGTTATCTAGGAACTCGATGATTTAAGTCTCAAATAACAAGGTAATACTAATATGTCAATGGATGGCACGATGGATAGGTATTTGAGGTATGTGATGCAGGTACCCCCGAAGCGATCTTTAGAGGCTTGGCATACACCCGCGTATAATCTTTGTGTCACCACTTAAGTAATGCTGATTCGCTTTGTATATTGTGCTGCTTTCAATCTCGTCAGCTTCTATCCACTCTACTAGTCCTGAAGTTCTCAGCTGTAAAGATTAAGTAATCTGTAATTCGCAGAAAAGGTTATCGTTTGTCCAGACCATGCATGCCTATGTTTCCTCCATGTCTATCTATACCGTGTCATCACCGTCAGATTTTGTTGATCAATGTATTACATGATTCCTTGCTTTCAAAGCTGCTTTCATCAAACTATCATACTTCCTCATATGATGTATATGTATATATATATATATATATATATATATATTATCGAAATCATGCGACCAACGACACCCAAGTTATCACTTGGAAAGCTAATCAGGGTGCCCATTCCCACATTTCTCCAAGGCCATATCATTCACATCATTATTTTTCCTTCTATTTTGCCCTTTACTTGCCATACACGTCTCATTCAGTGCATTACTTCTTTCAAATATATTTTTATCTGTTCTGCTATTTTGACAGCGTATTATTCTGTAACTCAATGGGGAATGACATGGATTTTCGACACATTAAGTCCCTAAAAGGCCTTCACACGAGAGTTTTTCGCCGTCGCTCAAACTCTTCGAGAATTCAAAGAATGTGGTTACATTCTTTTGTATCTCTGGATAGCTTTGGAGATGTCGAAATAGTTAGAGTTGGCTATCTATATGAATGGAAAGTGCGATGAGAGAAATATGAAACTGCAAGATTGATCAAGCGATTTTCTGTTCTATCAGTATGCACTTGCCTTTTTGAGTCTCGTTCCACTCTATCTTGTCCTATGTCTTAAACTTTTTACAAACTAGGAAATTGAAAATTTTCCATGCCGCAACGAGTGTAAACGCTTTTATCGCGTATGGCATTGCATTATGGGAAAGCGCAGAGGTGTACCTTCTAAGTGCCTTTTAGATGTATCCGTTCATGTTCCATTCACTTATTCATTCAATATATCCATACAACATTGTAAATGACTTATTCTGCTTTTCAAATATTGTCATCAATATCAACACCTCATAATAATAATGACAGTATCGCTTAAAGATCCACTGTCATCAGACAGCCGTTCACCAAATTCCTTGGTTAGATCGAACAGTGTTACAATACCGCTTGTACACAGACCATGTTCCTTGCCCAAAGAGACAAAAAAGTCTGCTGAAATACATAATTTAACATTCATAATTGATGGGTATCGTCGTACCATTAGGCCAGTATATCCCATCTCTCTTACTACAATCAAGCCAAAAGATTTGAGAGAAACCGCAGTTGCGAGAAGAAAATGCAGAACCAATAGGAGCACCAGTAAATTACCTCAACTTGTTCGGCCCTTCAAAAACCCACCACAATGTCTCTTGCCACCACCATACAATCCTAAAAGTACAGCATGGGAGGATTTGTTCTTGAAGCTGCCGTTATATGTTCGTTGGATGATATACGATCAGCTTTCAGTCATAAGACAAGACCCGGTACTAATTAGATCACCTCTTTCTTCTGCCTATAAAGAAAGCCACAAGACGTTAACAAATTCTCACGCTATTCTTAGAGTGAGCAAGACGATTCATCATGATGTTGCTGAGTACTTTTATACCAATACTCATTTTGTTATTGGAAGTTGGAGATGGGACCAGGAACCGGAACTTGAGCCTTCTCCTGACGGTATACAAACTTTTCTTACTTGGACCCCACGACATTATGTCAATTGTATAACCAAACTTACTATTCTGGCCCGTCTTGTCGTATACTTTAGAAAAACAGAATTCGCACACGCCGATCTCATGTATTTTGAGGCTATGACAATTGTCGCAAAAGAAAGCTTCGTTAATCTGCGAATTTTGTCTCTTTTGTTCACTGAGTTTGACGGTGTGTGTGTTCCAGATTGTCCACTAGATGTTGGAGTTAAGACGGATGGATGGCATCAAACTGTATACTCTTCGTTCAAGAAGTTGTTGAATCATCAAAGTCTTCAAGAGATATACTTGGGGGTGGACTTGATGGGAAAGCCAGCTCGATATAAAGGAATCCGCGCTTGGGATCAATTACTAAATCGTGACGCTTTCATATTGATCAAGGAGATGGCGAAGTACGCTACGGTGGAGCACGGGTCATGGATATTTTATGGTGAAGAAGACTGGGACAAACTTTTTACACGGGGGGAAGACCATAATGATTATTATTTTGATCCTGAACTCTGTCCGATTGCTAGAAAGTCTGTTTAAGGTGTGTAGCTTGACAGGTAATCTCATACATGTGCAGTAAGCTTATGCTTCTAGGTTCTTATATAAGAGAAAAGAATGCGTCTCATGAATTGATGTCGTCCAATCACGACTCTGAATCCGGCGATTTTTGGTACGTCAACGGTTTGTATACTTGCGGCTTTTCTAAAGTTGGTCGTAGTCCATGTTGCGATGGTTCTGGGTATCAGAGGAAGAATAAAGACAGGGCATTAAAGTTGGATGGCTGAAACATGTATTTGAGTAGGTAGCCAGCATGAGTTTCTTTTATTCATGGTTACATAATGCAGTCTATAGAATATCAATCATAACGATCACAACAATCTCTCGAAGATGCAAATTGTAAAGGTGACACTTCTTTTTGCTAGCTAGCCCCGGCAAATTTAATTAGCCTCAGATCATTGAATACACGGAGGCATCAAGTCAAATTCTGCACATCTAAGAGCTCCAAACTACTGGCCGCGGCCTAGCAAATTTGTGAACTATTACTTTGAAGTTTTCAAGTTGTGACTATAATAAGATTCCAGACTGAAATTCTTCTAGATGCCTTGATAGAGACTACTTTGCGCATTGAGAAGCATAACCCTGAGTGCAATAATGATATACAGAACAAGAGATACGCCAAAGACTCCCTTCTCTAATTCCTACTGAATGACGTACAGAACAAAAGAGATATGCAAGAAACCGCTGCGATCATATTCTTCGCATATGGATCGATCTCGGTCAAGGCCAAAACTTACATTATAATGACGTTTCAGGATATCAAGATATGCAACAAAGCTTCTGTGTTGGCGCCGTAGTTACTGGATATTCACCGGTTATCATATAGTTTAAGGAGAATCAATGACGTTGTGATAGATTTAGATGTGCAACAAAAGTCGGTTTTGCGGATTTTGCTTACGATGATGCTGGAGTGATGTCGTGAGGGTTTGAGATGTGTGACTAAATTTTGCTTTTATATATTGCCCTATGTAAGATCTGGATATATGATTTTTTTTCTTTCAATCGTCTAATAGGTGTTGAAGTATATAGTATTCAGTCAGGCATCAAGTATGTCTGGTTTGTATGATATCATGTCTAATAGGTTCGCTTCAAGCATAAGTTTCTTGATTTGATTATATGAAATATTATTTTCAATACCATCAGTAGGTAAACTCTACCGCGTCTGATAAAACTGTTCACCAGAATCACATAAAGAGAAACTAGAAGACAATCCTAGAAGGAAATGACCTTAAATAAACAACTTCTTGATTGAAAATATCGCAGACTTCGTTAATGACCACCCCATCTTTCTATCCATATCTTATATGTCTTCATGAATTCACATCCACATCTATGCCCGCAGAACTTAATGACTCTCTAATTCAATTCTGTCGTCTTCTTCACTTCACTGCCATTCTTCACCACCTCTTTTTCATCAATATACTTGGGAACTACACCTCCCAATATGTTACCACTAACATGATCATCGGGCATACCGGGCATCTGCATCTCGAAGATATTGTTAACCGCCGTATACTGCTGATAACCGAGTCTTGCCAGTGGAGCCGCTTTCAGAACATCAAAAAGCTAATTATTCATCAGTTATCATGCTGACCTCTCAAAACTGAATGAAGGGAAAAAAATTACTCACCCCATCACCTGTAATGAAATCACCCTTGATGTGAATTCCCACCACTCGTCCAATCACAATATCACTGTGACCCACCAAGGAGTCCCCGTCGATTCGAATGATAGAATGGACTTTACATTCAAATTGAACCGGAGCCTCGGCTACGCGGGGGGGTTTGACTACTTTACTGGGGACTTTTGTTACTTTTGCGAGGGGAAATTCGTCATCCCATGATTCGAGAGAAGAGGCATTGACCGAATCGCGAAGATCGTAGCTAGAGTCTGTTAGTTGTTAATAATTGAGAAAGAGGGAGGGCCGCGAGAAGGAGATTTGATTAGATATGAATAGAAAAACATACGTAGCCATGTTCCAAACAAATTCCCCAGTGTCTTTAGCATTATTAACGGAATCTTTACTTCGTTGTTTGTAGACGGATTGGTGAGCAATGAACATGATAGTTGGAGGATCAAAGGATACATTGTTGAACTGTGAGTATGGCGCGAGATTATCTTGACCGCTTTGAGAGGTTGTGGAAATCTGGATGATTGTTAGTTTGATGCCAAAAGAAGAGGGCCAAAAATTGAAGAAGAGAAACTAGAGAAATCTGGAGAGGATAAACTGGAACATAGAGCGAAAGTTTCTTGAGTGAGAGAGGAAGTAAAGATTTTATGCTTACCCAGCCTATTGGACGGGGAATAACGAAAGATTTGAAAGGGTCATGAGGAAGCCCAGAGTTTTCCCCTTTTGGAGGTTGGTAGAAGATATCTGGTCGGGACATTTTGAATGATGATATGCTTGAGGCAGAATCTCGTAATGTATTTATGAAACGTCGAGTGAGGTATTTGAAAGTCGAAGGAAATTTTAATGGTGTTGGAAAAGAGTTGTATGAGGACTTCTCGAGTCCTTATACCTGATTTTACCCTCATCATCCTATTCATCGACTATATCAGGAAATCTGCTTGCCAAGATACAGTAAGTACATAAAGTGCTCAATCGCAATGTGGGCGCTCGATGATCAACATACATTACTGATCAGTCCTCGGATATTAATTCGAGGTACATGGTAACCTCTCGTGTTAGCACAGATGGTACATTTTGAAGCACTTTTCTATATGAACTCTCAAATAAATCTATTGCACGCATGCGTTGTCATCGATGTCCCACATATACCAGGGATCAGTAATCATTGAAAGTCTGTATGGTGGGGGTATTATTTCCCCGCAAGCGAGGTTGGATCCGAGGCTGATGACTTATTGGAAGGGAATAGTAATCATTTGCGTGTTGTTGCACGCATCCAATCCGAGCTGAATTGTTCTGTCTACCAAACTCTCTTCCATAAAACTTCTTCCTTACTCACCATTTGAGAATATCGTCAAGTTTAGTGGAATTTTTTTCTAGATAGAAGGTCAACTATTTATTGCCTACGATATTATGTTATGTTCTTGATCTGAACAAACAAAACGCATCAGCACCCATTGCCATATGGATGGTTCCTCGATAAAATTAAATCGTTGCATTCATGTCTCCCTCTGTAAAATACTTACATGGAAGATATTTTCCAAATCATACTGATTGAATAGGACAAATAATAAATCGCAGAATTAGCCCTCGTTACACAACCAAGATTCAATTTGGCTACCATTGACTTCCGGAACAACCAAAGGAGTTACGGAAAACATATGAGAACCTTGAACCCACGCGGGATGAATCTGTCAGGTTAGCATGGCATGAGGGTTCCGCGCGAACAGTGGTCTACACCTTAAAATTTGCCTTTACAAAGTAGCGTCAACCTTCATGATCATGAGATCACGAGAAGATTGAGGCGTCGAATTTCTCAACCGCCACCATCAGCTCCTGCTGAAAATTTCTTTTTGGGACTCTTATGGCGAAAGGAACTCATAAAGCTTTCTTGAAAGGAGAAGATGGGATGATATCGCTCCGCTTTTCCGAATTCTCGGAGTTTTCAAGGGTTTCCAATCCATGGATATGGTAAAAGAAAGTAGGAGTATATAATTAGACGACGCTTGACCTAGGCACTCGTCTAGGATAACCACGCAACTCTGTCTCATTCCGGTGCATTCATCACAGTGATACACATTTAAAAGCAAGGTCAAGATTTTTAACAATAACACATCAAACACGGCACCAGAAAAACAAGGGAAAACGAGAGCCTGGAATATCCACCTGATATTCATGTTCATGTTTTCTACCTCTCCGCTCGACCTCTTCCAACAGAACAGTAAATCATCCAGAGCATGAAACTACTCATCCTCTTCAGTTTGCAACTTTCGAGTCCCCCACTCGTAGCACTATCGCTCCTCATAGTCGTACTGCGACACATTTATTCCTTTCGCTATGTCGATGTTCTCAGTCCCGATTCGAGCAAGACAACGAGCGAAGAATATCAAAATGGTGTATGGAACATAGGGGAGAAGAAAGTTCGATGGAATGTTTAGATCATGTCGTGTTTAGACGAATATTTCTGGGAAGAAAAGTTAAATTGTCGTCTTTACAACCTGAAACCAACTGGATGCCTTGGAAATCGCATACATCTTCACAACCACTTACTGTGCACGAATTGCCATCCAACACCCATATATTCGAGAGCAACCCAAGCAAAGGACTCCCTCTCAGGCTCGCACATCAAACCATATGAACGGAGCATCGCCCCTCCGTCTGGCTTTCATAATCTAGCAAAAGATCACTGGAATATCTTCACTTGAGTTTCCTTCTAGTTACTTCGTCCTGCTCAAATCGATGTACTTTGGTCCTCTAAGCTTACATTTTCCAAACTCTGCTCATCCGCCCCTTTCCGAATTGATAAGTGCGCACTTTGTTGTAGCGAGATTGTTAGAGAAAGGGGAAAATTGTTTGAGCTGACCATAATTTGGGCGTGGTGGAAATCGATCAGGAACGTGATTAAAGGCCCACTTTTAGGCTTGCAAACGAATGGCTGAGATTGTCGTGTAGATTAAATAATATTTGTGTCTGGGGGATTGAACTTAGGAGGTATTAGAATGTAAATTTTCCCACGACTTCTATTCCATTTGTGAAGTACGTTGTTGGGAATAAGCACATAAATTGGGTAGATACTTTCAACCAAAACGAACTGAACACGACAATTGTGAAATGTAAAATCCTACTCAAATCCGTGTTTGTACCATGAGATACATTGCTTCAGTATCTGCCTTGGGGTATCGATGAACGCCTACCATGCGACAAATATAAGTGTCATATAATACCATTACGCCGGTCCACCCTGAAATTTATATCGCCAGTCATGCATTATACCTTGCCGTATATTGCTTCCAGATTACATGAATGGAGCAAACTTTGTACGCCCAGAAAATCTATCCCGATCGTCCTGTTGGCCCATGTCTACATCACCATCATCATCGTCTAGCTCAAGTCGTCTCTTTGACTTGTATGATACAGTTGCCTCGGCCTGTCGAGTTTGGGTGACGCTTCTTCTGGCCTCCAGAAGTTGATTAAAGTTCAGTAAAGTATGTTTCATCTCATCATCAAAAGCTATACAAAACCGCTGGTTTTGCACATATTGTATGGCTTCGACGAGTTTTAGTTCATAGGTCGCCATGACATATGCTACAGCAACAGCAGCAGATCGCTCATTTCCAGATTCGCAGAAGAGAAGAACTTTTGGTGTTGCAGCCAAAGGCTGGCTGTTTACTCCCTGAGGATTCCGGTGTTTGAATACTCGGATGAGATGATCATTAATGGTCTGTATGGCTTTTGGAAACGCAGCGATGAGTTCCATGTTACCGCTAACATCAATGGCACCGGCTTCGATGCCTAATTGTTTTGCTACCTTTGCGCCACTCAGAATTCTTGCTTGAGCTGTCTTGGTGTCTCTGATTACGAGTAGCATTGTAATTCCTTCTCGTCTCAGAGTTTCGATTTCTCTCGCGCCAGAGGATGGTCCGAGATAAAGGAAGGATAAGATTGCTTGGATATGGCGTCGCATTTCATATTTCCAATCCGGTTTTTCCACGGCTACGTTTTGTCCTTGTGTTATCACACTCAATATCTCTCGAGTCTCTTGTTCATCATCTAGCCCGCGATATTTCGATAGAGTGATTGAAGTTTCCTGGCCGGAGAGGGGTGGGATGTGGATATGAGGCGGCGATGGAGGCTAGATCAAGTTAGATAGTTTCATACAAGACTATCAGTCAAGTGAACTTACCCTCCATGAATACAAAGTAGTAGGTGTGGTGTTGTGTTCTGCAGTACTCGTTGCAGAGTCTGTGGAATCCATACCATTCAACATTGGTGGTGTCATTGTGCAAGACAATGTGAAAGGAGTCTGAAGGCCCTCCAGGGATCTAGAATTGTTTTAGAAATTCGGAGGTATACGCCAAAAGACGTAGAAACTTTGAGGGAACCAGAGGAATATCGCAGAAGAAGAGACTAGGTATATTTATTGTTCAGAAGAATGCCGACGCTTTTGAGGGATTCGTTCCTTCGAATTGAGAGTAGTTGGAGGTATTAAGTATTTGGTAGACTGGTGATAATCAACCGGATAGAATAGCCAAGTAACTAGATCGTTATACAGTCAAGTATTAAACCTTTTCGTTCTTCAAGTTCGAGTTGTACAGACGGTCGTTTTAATGATATCATGTTGAGTCGAGACTTCGAGTACAGTCTAATTCCTAGGGTACGTACCTACCTACCTATTCTTAGCGCAGATACACCGTTGTTCCAAGGTTCCGATGATCAAGATGATGATTACCTAATCAAGCCAAGTTTGGTCACAGTCTCGAGACAGTGTGGATTTCCAAACCTCCGTGCCTCCGCCTTAAACCCCCGTAAGCTTTGGGGTGAGCTTTCAAGCCAAAACATAACAAAATGTCTAACAAACGAATTGAACAGAGCGAAATCGAAAAATATTGGGAGATATTTGCTTCTCTATCGAATGGTGGCACACATCTTACTGGTGCGCAGGCCGCACCAGTGTTGAAGAACAGTCAACTACGAGACGAACAACTCGAACGGATATGGGACTTGGCAGATGTAGACAACGATGGGAATTTGGATTTTGAGGAATTCTGTGTGGCCATGAGATTGATCTTCGATCTTGTTAACGGGGTATGGTGATTTAATATCATTGTTTGTTGGATTGGTTCTAATTTGAGGATCTTCTAGGAATATGCAGATGTACCACCAGCGTTACCGGACTGGCTTGTCCCTGAATCGAAAGCACATTTAGTCCAGGCCAGTCGAGCACTTACCGGAAGACAAGTTCAATTTGAACGTGTTGAGGATGATGATGATACCCCGGGCTTGAAGGATGGTTTCGATTGGTACATGAGCCCATCAGATAAGTCCAAATACGAAGAGATATACTCGGCGAATAGGGATGGCAGAGGAGATATCACTTGTAAGTGCATGCGCGCTATGGTGTTATTCTAATGAAGTCTAACTTCGCATAGTTGAATCTCTAGATACCCTCTACTCTTCTCTCGAGGTTCCAGACACCGACATTCGCTCGGCCTGGAATTTGATCAACCCATCTGCTGCACCCGCTATTACAAAAGATGCTACTCTCGCCTTCTTACATATACTTAATAATAGGCACGAAGGGTATCGCATTCCTAGAACCGTTCCACCATCGCTCCGAGCAAGTTTTGAACGAAACCAGATTGATTACCAGATAGATAATCAACGTGTAGCATCGCCGGCGCAAAAATGGGGCGTTACCGGTAATGAAGAAACAAGCACTGGCCGCAAAGCTAAATTTGGGGAGACATATATGAGTCGACTTGGAATAGGTGGAAAGGGCAGTTATAGACCTGCGGGTACGGATTTCTCGGGCACGAAAACCACTGAGGATTGGGAGGAAGTAAGACTAAAGAAACAACTTGCGGAGCTTGAAGCCAAGCTTGAAAAGGTTGAATCTGCATCTGCAGCAAGATCTGGTGGACGACGAGATACCAAACCCGCGTTAGTCAAGAGAGAGTTGGAGCAGCTGCTGGATTACAAGCGCCGCGAATTACGAGATTTGGAATCTGGTGAGGGAAAGAGTAAAATTGGTGCAAGCTTAAAGGGGGTCGCGGATGAGATCGCTACGGTCAAGGAACAGGTCGACGCTTTGGAAGCACATTTGAGGACACGAGAACAGGTTTTGGCAGGGTTACAGCAGGAAATTGAGAACGAGAAGAGCAGCCGATAGATTTGTTTACTACTAATAATAACAATTTTTACAAAGTGGCCTAGCGGTGTCACTCTGGTGCCTCATAAAGTGAATCGATATTTCAAAAATTGGTCTCAGTATGCAGAAAGCTTGGGAAGCTGTAACTGTGGTCAACGTAGTTTGTCAGGCTGGCATGAAAGTCGCATGCTTGCCATTTAATGTTAAGACTGCTCTATCTTTGAATTTGCAAGCTTGCTACCCAAGCGGAGTCCCAATTCTCAAAGTCCATTATCTCTCCATCCCATTTCACTATAATCTCAACGCTATCATCTCAACATAACAGCTCATCCCCCTAACTCTCGCTTACAATTAAAGGAGTTTGTTTACGATTCTCTCTTTTATCTTCCTTCCCCACTGAACTAATCTTCCATTCCAATCCTGATCCTCCTTTCCTCCACACGATTTTCTCTCCCCAGGGACTCCACCATCCACTTAGTACCACAATCTTTACCAAAATCCCACATATGGATATTGCGAGCGCGAAATACATTATTATCTCTTTGACCGGGATATCGGGTCCAGAATCTTGATTTTGATTTTGAATCGTGATAGACTCGGTTGGTGTTGGAGTACAATGGGAGATGGAAGCGGGACAATAGCATATTTCTCCGTGGATTAAACTGCCATAGCAGCGAGGAGTAGACGTCTGCGGTTCAAGGGAGGGGATGAAGTAGATGATGAGAGAGATTATGGTTGTCCAGAAGAGGAGGAGGGTGAGGGTTAGAAAGAGGTAGTAGGCTTGTAGATTGGAGTTGGACATTCTTTACAAGAGGGTTCTTTTTGTCAAAGGAGGTGTAGGGATTAGCCTAGGGGTTTTGGGAAGATGTAAATGGTATAGAGTTTGTCTGATGAGATGCTGAGGAGAAATAAGATGGAAAAGAGATGGTTCGGGTTTGTTTATATACGCAAGTTATTAATGGGTGGTACTGATGATTCGAATTCATGTCATCAGTTACTCACACACACATAGTTGTGATCAATCACATGAAGCGAACTTCACTTCCATTTTTAGGTACTTCATAAGTAAATGGACGCCATGATTTTCTCATGGGATCATCGTTTTCTTGTATTTTGCGCCACGTCTATTTATCATACATCATGAAATTTAAATCATCAATTTGATTTCTGTTTCTTCGTTAAAAAATCACGAGGCTTTCGGTAAGCGGCACGACCATTTTGCGTCTGATGTCCATCTCGTATGGACAGAATCTGAACTCTGTAAATCTCGCAAAACGCCTGCATGTGCTTCATCAAATCCAGATCCACACAGTTCCTACATTTGAACACTGCTAAGAGAGCACGTCACCATCATTAGCTACGCCGACAATCCCACACTATCGCAAGCTACACCTCCCTCCCCTTCCCCCTTCCTCTCCAAACCCACATCTCCTCAACCCCTAACCTCCAATCAACCCCCCATACCTCATCCTAAAAAGCGCAATCACCAAACCCACCACACCCCCCAACACCAGCGGATTGCCCACCGCAACAATCATGATCATTTCTCTCAACGCCATTCTATAGCCTCCAAACCAATATCCTGTTGTTGGTACACTTTTTTCCTTTTGTTTCTCCTCCGCCGATGTGGTCATTCCCGTGATAGATTTTGTTATCTGTGGCGATTTGTCATGCGCGTCTTTGGTGTGGAATTCTAATTCCAACGGTGAAGATCCTGAGGGCGATCGATGATCAGCGCATGGCGGAGAATGGTGATGGAGGGTATCGGTTGGCTTTTGGTGAAGGGATGGGAGGGTGTAGGAGAAGAGATAGATGTGGAGGAGACAGGAGATGACGGCTAGGATCAGATAAAAGAGGAGATATTTCATTCTCGTTTCAACTTCTTCGACTTTCTTTGAAATGGGTTTTTGGTTCTATGATTTCCTTGCTCGTTGCTTATTGGATCGGGTCTTTTTTGGGAGAAATAGGTATCTCAAGCTCAAGGGAACGAATATAAATATCCTAAGAGAAACCGTAAGAAATCGAAATGGCGCACAACAATATGAAGTAAAATTGAGTACGGTAGTAACTTCCATTCCATACGGGAAGAGAAGAAGACACAATGAGCGAATGCTTGATATCATGTCAAGCAGTATAGATAATGGTGTATTAATAACGAATCTTTATTTCTACCGTATAAGCCATACATATTATCAAACATTAATTCATGATACCCCGCTATTGTTGTACAAATTTGATACAAAACAAAAACTGCAGCGCTTGCACTCCCGTTCGACCAAGCAAACTTTATCCAGACATCTAATAAGATGCGCATCTAAATATGCTAGTTCTATTTCCCTTCCATACTTGTCATCAAACCACCAGCTTTGGTCTCGACAATCTTAAACGCGTCTTTATTACCCAAGCCCCTCTCCGCTCTCTCGTAAGCCGCTTCACTCCTGTCACACAACGTATCTAGATCCTCTTCTGTCAAGATCTCATCATCTTCTTTACATGTGTATACCTCTCCATCCTTCAACAATAATGCTCTTAACGCATCAGCGCTCATTCCTTCTTTGGTATCCATTTTCTGACCCATAGTTTTGAATCCTCCCTTTTTGATAACCAGTTTCTCTAATCTACGTTTTGCATCAGCGCTCATGAGCAAATCCTCTTCAACAGTACCCTTGGTAGCGAGACGGAATACGACGACAGGTTTAGTTTGACCAATCCGGTGAGCGCGATCTTGGGCTTGGAGATCCTGTTGTGGATTCCAGTCACTATCAAAGAGAATGACTGTATCAGCACTTGCGAGGTTGATTCCTTGTCCACCGGCTCTGGTGGAGAGAAGAAACAGTTTGAATTCTGGGTCTTCGTTGAATTCCTTAATTTGTTGTCGTCGAAAGTCTTGTGCCACACTTCCGTCAATCCGGCAAACTTTCCAGTTTCGCAATTCACGAGCGTAATCTTCAAGAATATCAAGCTGGGTTTTAAACTGTGAAAATATAAGAACCTTGTGACCGCGCGAGAATAGTGATGGAAGTAATCGATCGAGAAGTAACATCTTCCCAGAAGAAGTCACCAGCGTTTCGTTGAATGGAATACCTGAATACGCGGACCAAGGATTGTAGAAATTCAAAGGAGAATTGCAGACCAATCTCATTTGCATAACAGGATTGCCTAACTTCTTACTAGAGATTTCCTTTCTCGCAAGCTCTAGAATTTTTGCTGTTTCATCTTCGATTTGATTCTTGTTCTTGAGTTCTGCCTCTTCTTTCTCGGCATATTCAGCTGCGAGTTTCGTTTCAAACTCGTCGTCACTAAGGTCATCCTCCCCAGATGCATCAGCTTCTTCGTAAACTCTTCTACTCCGTGAGCTCCGGCTACGAATACTAACAGCTGGTGATGCAGTTCGGCTGGATTTTGCGGACTTATTAGCTGGTAATTGAAGGGAGTCTTCAACTTGCTTTCGTTTCCTACCAGGTTTTCCTTTTTCGATAGAGGGTTGTGGTGAAGGAATAGCGTTTTGATTCTTAGGCGGTCTACCTGGCTTTCTCTTCGCCATCATTTGTTGAAATGCATTCTTTGAAGTCGGAGTAGATTCTGAAGTAACATTTTTGTTCTTGTTTCGAATTGCCAATGGCTTCTCGTCTTCGCTATCAGAATGTTCCGGATTTATTTCAACCTTAACGGTAGACTCAGCTGCCTTGCTCGAGTCTTTCTTGACAGCCTTGCCCCCCGTCAGTCTTTCCACAACTTTCTCTTCCAAATACTTGCGTAGATCAGCTGTTTTATCACCAATCTTGTTGTACAACTCTATCTGCTCCTTTGTCATTGGTGCATAAAGCACATATTCTCGCTTCTTCGGAAGCATATGCTCGACATCAGCCTTTACTCTTCGTAACAACAATGGTTGAAGAATCAAGTGCATCTTTTTGACTAGGTCTTGCTTCATTTGATCTGCAATGAAGTCCTCGGTACCTTCCTCGTCCTGTAAATCGCTAAAGTCGAACCAACTCTCAAACATTTCCCATTGTGTAAAAATTGTAGGCAAGAGAAAATTTAGTAATGACCAGAGCTCTTTAAGATTATTTTGCAGTGGTGTTCCAGTGATCAACAGACGAGTAGCAGATGTAAAGGTCCTCAGAGTTTGAAACAATTTTGACTCTGAATTCTTCATTCGGTGACCTTCATCCTACACGTCATGTCAGCTATTGGAGACCCTACCATGAATATAAGACCTACAATGATGATGAATTCCCAACTAATTTTGGAGAGATCCGCGTGATCGCGCAGAACAATTTCTGGACTCGTACAGACAACGGGAAATTTCTCATCGGGACGGCCGCCTTTGATGTGCCTCATCATTTGCGTACGTAGAAGCTCCTTTCGTTGTGTTGGCGTACCATGGTATAAGAGGACCGGTACATCAGGGGTCCATTTTTGGAATTCCTCAATCCAGTTCGAGAGTGTACTCAACGGCGCAATAATAAGATGCGGACCCAAATAACTTTCCTTCTCTCTCAATAATGCGATAAGCGAAATCGTCTGTATTGTCTTTCCTAAGCCCATTTCATCTGCCAGAATTCCAGACATGCCTTGTATACAAATCTCATACATCCAAGTCAAGCCCTCTAGTTGATATTCTCGCATTGTGCCACCCACCATACACTTAGGCTGTTCTGCCATTGTCAAATCATGTTCGCCCAATGCCTTCCCATCCATTCCACTTCCAACACGCCCCAACACCCTTGTCTTTCCTACTAGCACTTCCCCAAATGCCGCACTCTTACTCAGCAATTCGTCCAATTGTCTGGCTTTTGCTTCTCGTTCCCCCTTTGATTCATTATGTTCTGCTCTCTTTCTAGCAATCGCCTTTCGCCTTCTTTCTTCTGCCTTTGAGTTTGCGATTCTTGCTTTCTCTTCTTCTTCGAATATTTTCTTTTCTTCTTCAGTGGCAAAATTGGGCTCGAACTCGGGAAATTCTTCTGGTTCGAATTCCTCCGGAGGAGAAGATGGAGCACTGGTACGTGGTTTGGACAGAGGTGTTTGAGAACGACTCATACTGGGCGTAGAACTCATTGTTGGAGGGAGAACGAAGGTACTCGTATTGTAGTTGTTTAGGTATCAGTGGTGGTATTCCTTTAGGGCTTTCAAGATGCAATCGAAATTTGCTCAGTCGGCAGTAATGATTGAATAAGTGACAGTTATACTCTCTGGTACTAGAACCTCGAGACACGATGAATTTTTGTCAAACACTTCAGTTGTTTCAATGTACCTCACTGATATTCCAGAGTAAGACTCGTGTCGACAAACCTATCAATTTACTAGCCCAGATACCACAAATGTCGAGCAGTGTTTCGCGGCAGTCAATGGCTGATATCAGATGTGGTCTGAAGGGAAAAGACTGGATCAGGAATTGGACGTTTCGAAGCGCGAATACCAAAGATTGTGAGGGGGCTGCGATTGACATGCATGAGACGCGTAAATTGATTTTTACGCGACGTGAAGTCATGTCGTCACTGATTGACGGGACAAAGCGTGATTCAATTAGTAATCAATTTCCAGTCTCGCCCGGTGAGCAGCTATCAATGATTTACTGAAGGGGTTGCTTGGAATGTTTGAGTTTCCATCCATGAGATTACCTGATTTTAAATCAAGACGCTTCCCTTTTCTCAGCAGTTTACATTTCTACAACCGGAAGACTATAGTGAATGGTGATCGAAACGAAGTTTCCTTACTTGATGATGAAACTCCGAGCTGGGTTGTTCTAGTGACCCTGCGTATGGGGTCATTTTGGGCGATATTATATGTCGATTGGGAATTGAATGACATGGCTATTCGCAATCATGAATTTAGTCATAGATCGACAGCAAAAGTTACAATTTCAACGTGAATCCACATTCACAATCACGTATGCATTCGCTGCCAACATGCTGCGAATATATTTAACATCATATTGCTAACCCATTGAATATTCTCAAAACTTCAGATATTGACCATCCCTTTCTGGAAAGGAATAGACAACGGGGTATTAAACACCAAGATTTTTATGCCAAACTTCTCGCAAGTCCAGTCGTAAATCCAGGATGTGAGAAGAAAGAAAGAAAGTAATCCACCGTAAAATCCATCGTGTTAGACAGGCGACCCAAATACATTTTTACCATCCATATATCCTTTACTACCAGCTTCTCCCATAACATCTTCTATCTCAGTAGAACTGAGTACTCTTTCTATGTATAACTCTTGCTATGTATCATGGCCATCCTCCAGGCTGTTGTCGTCGAAAGGAATGTGTGGTGTGTAATTTTATGTATAGGTCATGTAAGGAAATGTTGATTCGATCTGAAGAGTCAGGCTGAAACAGAAAGTTGATTTGATGAATCCGAGAAAGAAATGCCAGGCTGGGAAATGATGGCAACAATTAAGAAGCGAAAATTCGAGTGTGATAAAGCAGAAAACTGGCGCAGTTTCTGGGAAGAAGTCTCAAGCGCAACCATTGACGTCTTCAAGATTTTGATCGAACTACTTTTCGACAGTCGACAGGAGAGTTAGAGTGCAGCATAACGCCTGGCACAGGTCGTAGCATCATATACAGCTCGCCCATTGTAAAGCTCCATGTTTAACAGATGTGCAACATTACTCCATTTTTCAGCATCGACCTGCTTGACGATATCGACCAATTTATTTTCAGCTTCAACAGTCCAACCAACTTTGTTATTTGACTTTCCATGGGCCGCTGCACCCTTAGCCTTCTTACGTTCGCTCAAAGGAACGAATTTCAGACCCTGGGTGGCGAAGAGAATAGGTGCGGTGCGGTTATAGCGTCCGTTGACACCACAAACACTGAGATCAGGTTTCTTTCCCTGTTTCTCGCGTTCTGAATTGAGATGCTCGGCAATTTCAGCAAAGGACATGCCCTGGTTCTCTTTCATGTTGACAATTGCAATATTTTCAGGATCATTGGCTCCATAACTTCTCTTGCCAACCTTTCCTCCAGGCGGAGGACGCTTGAGACCTCTCTTCTTGAGGTGGGCATCCGAGACTGTCTCCTGGTCAACCAATACAGGCTGCTGATTGACACCCCATGGCATAACGGCTCCAGAGTATCTTGATGGTGCCAAATTCTCACCCGGGTTGTTAAAAAATATACCAGGTCTGCCTTCCTTACTACGTCGGACTACGGCTGGATGGGCCCGACTAGCACCATTCGATCCTGAAACGTTCGTGATTGGTCGTAGATTTGATGGATATGCAACACCAGCACGGCGCTTCTCGACACGATTTGGACGGCGGGAGCCAGGCTCGGGAACGAACATATACTCATCGTGGTCCTCATCGTATTCCTCATCCTCAGGCATGGGCATATCGTATTCAGGGCTATAATGAGAGTTTCCATCTTGATACATAGGCTGCTCATAGAACTCGTCATCATCCATGTCACTATCCTGAGAGTCGGAGTTCTCAAGAGCAGCATCTTCATTATCACTAACGTTGGTGAATAGACGATCACCTCGTCTCAGACTTTGCTTGACAACTCGACCCTTGACAACAGGAGCAACGGGAACAATGGGAAAGTGAGGCCCTGGAAGACCCGATGTAAGTGCTACTCTCTGGAATTGTTGAGAAGCGACCCCGACATTTTGGCGGCTTTCGTCCATTGTGTCGAGATCATCGCCGCTATCAATGCTTGACTGAGACTGACCCTGGACGTGCCGACTATTCTTGCTACTAAGCTGTTTATTTGAACGTCGAGTAGCAGCACGACGAACATTCCGACCCTCAGAAGGACTATCAAAGTTATTGATATCTCCTTGTGTCTGGTGAATCATCCCATGAGATTGCATTGGGTTAAGCTCCTCGCCATCAGTGTTTCCCTCGAATGGGTGGGAATAGCGACGGTTATCTCTGCTACCATGACTCAGAAGAATATCATCACCCTCACTACCATTATCATTGTGTTGTTGGAACTGGCTCTTGAGACGACGACTACCCCTATCACCGAGTCCAGATTGATTTGCATTTCGACGAGTGTTCGGGCCTGCAATTGAGCCCTGGGTATCGGAAATATCAAGTTGTTGAGAATGAGCATTTGCAACACCATTTGTAACTTTGCTGATGTTCAAATATGCTATGTGAAATTGTTAGCAACGAATACTGGAATTTTCCAAATACTGCCGAGTTCGTGAAATAGAAGAATAGTGAATAGTTTGATGACAAGGTTGTTGTGCACTCTGTCACAAAGCGATGGCTGATTTGTACGTTGTTGGTAGTGCAGCTCAACCAGTGATAAATAAATAAAAACAGCAACTAGGTAGTTGCTTATTTTTTGAGTGTCTCCACCTATATTGTATTTCCTGTGAAAATGAGGTTTCCAGATGAAAGAATAGTGAAAAAAATTGATGCTTCGCAATATATGGGACGAAGTAAGAGATGCACAATGACTGGGTCGAGAGGATGTGCAAAAATGATTATGATTATACTAGTTGACAACTTGGACAAACTGGTCGTAATATGCACATATGAATGCAAGCCAAGGCAATATTAGAAGATGTATGTAATTAAAGACAGAAGAATCATTAAACCAGAACAAGTGAAACTTACCATCTTGATAATGACCGTTGGGATCAAAGCCACCACCTGCATGTTCTTCTAGTACCGTTGCATTCTGATCTTGCTCCATGGCGATGATATTTGGATCAATAGTGTATTGTTCTTGAGAGTTTTTATTGCCAGAGGAAGATTGAGCAGTGGTGATTGGGGTTTGCGACTCGGTGATTATAGGAGAAGATGGATGTTCTGAAGGAGAATCAGTTTGACGATGGCTTGTTTCCGTCATTTTGATTATCTGTTTAAATTCTTAGTATTCAGTTCAGATAGGAAAATTGTTGTTGAAATCAAAAGACAGTGTGATGTGAAGTGGACTTTTGGAAGCAATCCAAATGCCCGAGTTGTTGTGATTGTTGTTGTTGTTTTGTTGTTGATCTCAAGTTGTGATTCTCGTGGGCAGAACTCTTAAGTAGACAGCCCCAAGCAGCCAAACCACGCTAATCAACCATTCACCCAAATTCTTCGATAACAAAAACATTCAACACAAAGCATATGGCAGAATTGAAGATAAGACTCCACCGTTGAAAATTCACTTAAGGGCGGGGTTAACCAAATGCTTGCAGAAGAGAGGTTGATAGTACGGTTCTGAACCAGAGGAATGATTGAGATGCTTTCATCATCATCAAATGGTATAAATTGCCTTGTAAAAAATCCAGATCCTGAAAGGGTGCTGAAGAGACATCTTCAACAAAAAATATAAAGTTCTGAACATCGCACTGAGAAACAAATGCGAGAGCCATGCAGACGGAAGGCTCCGAAATTCTGGTACAAAGAGCCGAAGATTTGCTAGATGTATCAGAGATTGACATACCTTTGATGGACTAGAAGATATGGGATACTTTTCACCGGGTAACAAGAATCTAACGCGCCAACGGCTCATTTCGGATCTTGTCCCACAGGGTAGTAAATCCCACCGCGTGAACTTTTAGACAAACTGGAGGAGCTTTGCTGTGATCATCACAGAACTTATCGGTACCTGTCGACAGATTTGAGGAGTCTTAAGTCTGTCCCAATGCCAATACGATTGATTTTCACCACAGGATATTACCTTTTATACTCACCAAAATGATGTACTATGTTTGTGACAGTCATGGGAATGAAAGACGGTGCGCTGCAACTATCGACAGCTTGCGATTCGTAGATGGCGATGGCGTTGATTCAAATTCTGTCTTGAAACTATTTCTTTTAAGTTAGGCATAGATAAATGGCTAGTCAAATATCTAGATACAATTCGTCTGAAAGAAAATAAATGGCCCATATAGTTCTGTAACTTGGGTAGATCATTCACTTCTAGTTGCGAATAGAATACTTATTCAATAAAGGACAATGGCAAAGATTTTGTAGAATTCTCAAGCAGATCAAGGCGTGTGGACAGTGAGCAAGGAACTTTCGCTGCCGTGGTTTAGTATCTTTGATAACGTGTGCTGTCATACAGGGTGTGCATTGGACTCACATCGTTGAGTTTAATTGATACAACGACAATTCACGATCGTGTCAAAGAAATACTGATTTTTCCCTCGAGGACCCTAGAGGATGATGAAAGAAATCCCGGCTATATCTAGGACCACTGATTGTGAATAATCGGCTTTGGAAGGTGACCAGTTTTTGTAAAGAACGGAATGGTTAGATCTAGTCTGTTGGCTGTTAGTATAGAAGAGAGCATGCAATACCAGCAGCAAAGAGTAAAATATATAAGATCTTAAATTCATATTGGATACAGGGCGTTTGCCTCCAACTTCACGTTGAGATGTATACTATCCACCATAATGGACTTGTTCCCAATCAGGAGTTTAGTACCTATTTTCTGCTAATATTATACTATAATATAGTGATTGTGCAAAATATGTGAATAGTCTGACAATTGTCAAACAGACACAAAACGCTTCCAATTCTCCGCTAATCTGGTCACACCCTCTTCGAGGTCCCAACCTTTGATCTCGCAGATCTTCCGACACATATCCTCCAACAGATTATCCATTTTTTCGCCAGCAATATGGAGATCACTTTCAACAAGAACACGATCATCAGACACAGCTTTAATGACTTCAATTGCTTTAGCACTAGCTGGTGAGGACATATTTATGGCTGCTGAGAATGAAAAGAATATTTCAGCTGGGACTGAAGCATGGAAATATTGCTTGAGAGTATCCGGTGGTCCAGAATATGAATGGAGACAGATACGCGGAGGGAATGGTTTTCCTGTGTCGTTTTTCGATATATCTTCTTCATCATCTGTATCATCCAAGGCAGGCGCTACTCCGGCAATTCTTTTCTCCTCTCGTTTGCTGAGGACTTGCCGTTCATGACCCTTCCAAGTCTCTTGTAAAGTGTCAAACAGGACGCCGTGCGCTTGCACTCCGTGAACGGATACTGATCTCTGCATTTCACCTGCAAGGTTCAATTGAGCCTTGAGTATCACCTTTTGGTGGCTCATTTGAACTCGATACGGCGTAAGACGTCTCCCTTCTCTTCCACCTGGTGTGAGGCCTGTATTTTTAGAGTTCTCAACATCTCCGGACCACTCGCTTGGTAAACGAAATTGCTTGTCTAGTCCAATTTCTCCTACAAGTGCAAGCGGATACTGTAGAAGGTACTCCTTGGTTTGACGCAGAAATTGAGTAAGGGGGCGAGGAGATGGTAATGACACCAGAAACTGTTTGTCGACGGGGCTGGGCGTCAGAACCTTTCCATAGTGCTCGATTCTGAAAGCTTCAGTATTGAATAGAGTGTTATCAAATGACTCCTTGGTATCATCGAATATTTGATACGAGAACCAAGGATGCCATCCGAAACAAGGAACCATGCACTCTGTATTTGGATGGTCTTTTGCTTGCAGCTTTTTCAAACCATAACTATCAGCAACTTGAGCAACAAGCGCTTGGTCTTGTGCTCTAGTAGCCATTACTGTTAGAACCCTTGCTTTCATTAAGGGCATCGATGTGATAGAATCCATGGTATCTGTTGGATGGCAATGTGCATCATAAACACCAATATGCCAAGGGAACTCGGCATTTTTCGCCATTCTAACTGATCCAGTTAGGGTCGATATCATATAGGGGGGGATATGAGACAACAGTATCTAATTTCTCTACGGATTTATACCTTGTGGAGAGACGTTTGGTTGGATTATTAAGTGAGGTCAAAACACACAAGTAGATCTTCAATTCCAGACGTCACCTACTAGACTGAGTGCGGCCGCATTACCGCACAGACTCCGCAAGCATATCACCCCACCACATATTTCACATGCAAATCATGCCAAACCGAGCCAAACAAAGCGCAACTTGATGTCTATCCCATCATCATGAACACATTTGATTTGAATAAAAGAAAACACTCCGTATCAATTGCTTCACTGAATATGTCTTAAAGGATTGAATAATTGGCTGAAATCATGAAGCTATTTAGCGCTTTTTACGCCGTCATTTTACCTTTCCTCTTCTTCTTCACGTTTCCAATCGCAGTGTTCGCGACCATCACTACAACTTTTGCTTTCTATGTCCTCTGCTTTCGAGTCGCGATTGTATACATTGAACTCGCCCTTGCAATCATTCCATACTATGTCTATGGGCCCAAAGCTGAAATAAAAATTGCACAATCCAAAAGAGCAATCTACAACCCTCCAAATTCACCTATTCGTCGTAAGAAACGGAGAAGCAGCGCTAGCAGCAGTCAATCAGCTACTGGTTCAGTCACGCCAGTACCAGTTCATATCTTGAAAGGCTCAGCATCAATGCTTGGATTGGGCCAAAGTGTTGGACCTTCCAGAGATTTCGAAGGTGTAGGTGGATGGCGTCTGGGCGATAGCGGATCTGATGATGATGCGCTATGGACGAATATGAATTCTAGGCTAGAACTCCCCGCGAATCACGGGAGGAGACATCATCAGCGATCTTTGACATCTGGTAGTCTCCCTTCAGAAGGGCTGAGAAGTCGAAGCCCGGAGACGACAATGAATTCATCAAAGGCTAGAACACCGCCTTCAATTGGATTGGGGTTAGGAGGGGAGAATTATTTTCCAACAATGACTCCAAGTCCGAGAACCAAGAAGAGGACATCTTTTGGGTCTGTGTCTGGATCACTTGCCAGCTCTAAGGCTAGCTCCGTTGTCAATATGAAGCAGATATGAGCTATTACTGGGTTGACTTACTACAAATTATGGCGGGAACGGTACACAGCACGTATCTTAGGCGTTTTGGAAAGGAATCGAGGATTTTAAATAGGCCAGGCTACAGCTCAATAATGGAAAACTTCGGAATCCAGCTATACAGTACCGTGTATCTGTTTAGACAGCAAGCTTTAAGAATCGATACCTTCTTGGGTGGACATTGAAAGATTTTGGGCCCGATATTCGGGATGTCTTTGTATTTTGGGACAAGGTAGAAGAAAGTCTTCGAACTTTGCGGTACATATTTTGTATAGTGTTTATACATCTGATTATTGTTCATAGATTTCATACAGCTCTTCATCTGCTGATCGTGGCATCAGCCATATTTCATCTGCAAGTCAATGCAATACCCAATGATCCTAGCACCAGAACTCCAAACCAACTCCAGAAATCTCTCCAAATCATTAACATCATCACTCAACCAATCCATCCCATCCGTCTCATCCCTACAAAGTCTGCCAAAAGTAATTCGCGTAGAAAAACTTCGAGAATTTAGCATCCATGTTCACCACATGTACATCTCCTTTCTTCCCATTTCGGATAATAGCCTTGGAGTATTCCCCACTTTCTCTGTCTCTCTCAATATCAATCCCTAGCCCTCTATAGACCTTCAATTTGAGACTAATCTCATCATCTACCTGGCCTCTCTTTACGTTCTCTCCTCCTTCCATACCCTGTTGTTCCAATTCTTGCAAGCGGGCCTGAAGATCTGCAAGCTGCGACGAGAGACGTTCAGATTCTATCTCTAGGTCACTAGCTGCTTTCGCAATACGAAACTTTTGTGTATCTAAAGTAGCTATTTCGGAAGCGTGTGCAGTTGGGGAATGGGCGGAAACGGTCTCGAGATGATTGTTGTTGAGGATAGTTAAGTTTCTCGATAGTTCTTTATATTGTCAGTATACCATTGCGATTCTTGATATCATAATTGATCACTTACTTTTTAATGCGCCCTCTGCTTCCCGTACTCTGAGATCTCGAGCTTGTTGCAAAGTTGATAGAGATTCATTGATGCGCGCAACAGCAGATTTATCGGGAACAATATTAAAATTGCCAATTGTGTGGCGGATGAGAGTCGCAGGATCTTCGTCGAGAAGCATTTTTAAATTATTTGAAGAGCAAATGTGGATGTAGCTGATGTATATTTGTGATTTTGTTGTAGTGAAGCAAAGAGTTGAGGTTTTGATGTAAACAAACGGGGCCCGCTTCTGACAACCAAAAAAGGTTGTAAAGGCAACCTAAAAATCCATGCGGCCGCACCACATGACGCTATAGCTACTCCATCCAACCTTGGAGCATCTTTAACCATTTCAAGTACCTAAACAATTTCATATCGCAACTTCCATTTTCTTTTTTTGAAGAATACTGAATTTAATAAGAACATTTTGAAGATGAGTGGCGGACTTCCATGTAAGTACAAATATGGCTACCGAAATATTGGATACCCAGCTCCATACTCGTTTCACAGTATTTCTTTATGCATTCCGCCTGGAATCAGTGATGCTAACAAGACTGGCTATACCAGATGCCGCAGACGCTGAAAGGTTAGTTTTCCTCAGAGGGGCAATGGTGGAAAAGCTATGGAATATCAAGTCTAATAGGATGTCAGCCCGTTGAAGCCTGCAGAACTCCAAGTTCTAAGAGCGCAATATGAAAAAGAGGGCGAACATGTTGGCGTGCAGACACAGTTCAACTACGCATGGGTTTGTTCATCCTGCATTTTTAGTTTCTTTGGCCAGTCGCTGACTGAATCAGGGATTGATCAAATCAAATTCTCGACATGAACAACAAGAGGGAGTTCGTCTCCTCTCAGATATATTTCGCACATCCCCAGAACGAAGAAGGGAATGTCTCTACTACCTGGCCCTCGGCAACTACAAACTAGGAAACTACTCTGAAGCAAGACGATACAATGATTTATTAATGGAAAAGGAACCGGAGAATTTACAAGCAAGCAGTTTGAAGGGGTTGATCGACGATAAAGTTGCGAAAGAAGGCTTAATAGGTGTTGCGATCCTCAGTGGTGTTGCTATTGCTGCTGGAGTTGTGGGCTCGATGTTATTCCGAGGTGTGAGTAGAAATAATAGATAATCGGCGGTTCGAATTCTCCAGAGGCTCGGATGAATAGAATGAATGTGTTTATACATGATTTGGGGGGCGGGGGGCTTTATTGATATACCATTGTGTGCAGAAGTGCGATTTCGCATCATGAGAATACCTTCATTATTCAATGCTCAACTTTTCTATCTTTGGAAATGTGACTTGAAGAGAGTGAATCTATACGCTGCATTTGATGTACATGGTTTATCACAGTGTCAATTTTGATTCTGTCCTCAATCTAAAATTCGCCTTCTCTTTCCGCTTGGGGAATTGTTAGAATGCGTAAGAATGTTATCGGTTGAGCGTGGTAGTGTTTTACTCTCGTCCCTCCTGCAAGCAAATCCCAATAGACATCATTGTGCGACGACTGAATATTTGAAGCACAATCATCAATCTCCTAAGCCTATCCCATGTCACACTTGTAAATAACATACTGTATTGTATGTAGGTACTCCGTAGTACTTATTATTCTGTAGAATGGATGGATTGTTCGTTCTGAAAGGACTTATTAGCATAGCGTTGCCACCATCCACTCACAATCTCAACCCCCTGTCACATTTGATAGAACCATAGAATCGACTACTTTGCGTCACTGACCCATCTCAAATGCATAGAACAGAACCACCACCTTCAATGATAAACTTTCCTTCTCCTCTTACTCATACTCTCACATCAACAACAATCTTCAAGAAACTTCAAATCAGTTTCGCTCCTTCACTTTCTTCACCTTCTGAACCTTCACCTTCGATTTAAATCTGCCATTGTATGGTGAATTATTATAACGACTTTCAATAATCAAATAATACTACTTTCAACTTTCTCGTCTTTCGTCTTTCTTCCCCGCCTAACCACATAAATTTCCGATTATCAATCCAAAGACGATCACAACGAGGCAGTTTTCCGAACTACAGTCTGCAATCTTACGCCACAAAAACTGTGGGTTGATTGCGCCTTGTGCTGTTGACACACATTTCAGAGCAATCACATACACCACACCGATTACGATATCCTCAAACCCCCTGTCAGTAGGGAATATAGGTTAACGAGCTTCCCCGCTCTCATTGTAAGATAGTGAGAAGTCGAAGCAAGCACGCCAAATCAACCACTCTGGCTTTACGAGCGCTGCGCACGACAGGCCTGGCATTATCTCTCGGTTTGACTGCCCTTGGGGCATACCAAACGTTCAGAGAAGCCATGGCTGACCCACGAAATGCAACTGGTGGCGGTAGACATTTGGATGCTACGGGAGAAAGGGAAGTAGTTTATTGCCATCAATGCGAAAATGAATGGTATCAGGATGAACATGGCTTGGTATGTCCAGCATGTGAGGGAGAAATTATTGAAATAGTAAGTCTGCAACTTTCAGCAGCTCTTTATTCGATGTCATCTCTGATCATTTCATTAGGTCGATCCAAATAGCGACCCTCGCAGTGGCATGGGCAATTCTCCAGAAAACGCACCATTGCGCGATCTTGATAATCATAATCCTTGGGCCGATGATTCAGATCCGGAAGAAGCGGATATTGAAGAACACATTACGCATGGTCCGAATGGCTCTATTTTGATTTCGCAAACAATAAGAACGTCCGGACCAGGCCCGTTTGAAGCCAACAGAATCATTAATCGCCGAAGGCGGGCCCCTGGTGCTGATGGAGGAGACGATGATACAATGCGAGATTTTCAAAGCATGCTAGGAAACCTATTGGGTCCGAACTTGAGAGAAGCTCGCACCGGTCGATCGGCTCATGATGACTTATTTCCACGGGCCGGAGAATTTCATACGGGTGGTGGTGGAGTTAGTACCGGAATAGGTGGTCGTCAAGGACCTCGTATTGTTGGTGGTCGATACACATTTGAAGGAACGCTCGAAAATGGTCGATTACGGCCAAGAGATACAAATGGTCCCCAGGGTCAAGGAGCACCTGTTGAGGATTTGTCTACGTATGCACCCCTTAATTCTCATTCTGTCAACGTTCGTGAGCCGGGCAGAGCTCATGTACTTCCTATCCCAAATCTTATGGGCATGTTTCAGGCCATACAGACGCTGGATCCCAGTACTTTTCCTGACATTCGTTCTGTTCTCACAGCTCAGTACCATTTTCCTTTCTGCATCAATTTGAAGACCGTTTGCTGACTGAATTATCAGTCTTATCTCTCATTTATTCTCTCAAATAGGAGCCGGGCCTGGTGGAGCAGCTGCAGGTGAAGATGGCGAGGCTCGTCGTCCTGGCATGCCTCCTCCTGGTGCTATGGGCTTGCCAGCTCTTCTTCAATCGCTTTTCAACCATCCAAATGCAGTACATGGTGATGCTGTGTACTCGCAAGAGGCATTCGATCAAATCATGTCACAATTGATGGAACAGCATCAACAATCCAACGCGCCCGGTCCCGCCCCAGCTGACGCCATCTCATCCCTTCCAAAGAAGGCCCTCGATGAAAAGATGCTTGGCCCCGAAGGTAAAGGCGAATGCAGCGTTTGCATGGATGATGTTTTTATTGGTACTGAAGTTGTCGTGCTTCCTTGCTCCCACTGGTTCCATGAGTCCTGCGCCAATGCCTGGCTCAGCGCACATAATACCTGCCCTATTTGCCGCAAAGGTATCGGAGCCGATGAAGCATCCGCCTCGTCTGCTAGCAATGCCAGAGGATCGAGAAATTCCCCAACTTCGCAATCCCCCACCTCTCCAACTAGCCGCCGTGCTCGTCTTTCTCGTTTCAATTCGGAACAAAATGACCGGATGGCCCGGAATGAGGCTCGATTGGAATCTATTCGGAACGGTCGCTTCATGCCCCCCTCTGGACCTACCCCTTTCCAAAGAAGAGAGACAGAAAGACAAGCCGAGAGAATGACCGAGGATGCACTGGCGGGTAATTTCTTCATTAGTCCTACCGCTCAAAGTGAAAACATGTCGGGTTATTTTCCAAGTGATAGTGCATCGACACCTCCAGCTTTTGATAGAAGAGATTCTGGTATGAGTGCAGGTGCAAATGAGCATAGGAGAGGATTTGGGAGCTCATCACCGACCCTTTCAAGGGAGAGACCGAGGAGTCAGAGAAGTGGGAGTGATGGTTCGACAAGAGGTGAGGGAGCTGGAAATGGAGGGTTGAGTGGATGGTTTAGAGATCGTTGGGGTACCGGTAGGAGGCAGGAATAGATGGGACTGCGTGCATAATTGAAGGGGTGAATTTGAATTTTTCAAAATGAAAGGATGGATTTTGATGGATGGATGCTTTGGTAGAGGATACCAAAGAAGACTGATGGTAGTGTCATTAAAGTCTACGAAACGATTTTCCGCCATTCCAACACGTATCTATTCATCACTTATGTTGTTACAATACGATACGATGCGAGATGATATACACAGGATTTGGGAGGAAAGAAGTGAGCATGGGGTTGAATCAATTTTGTTTCTTAAAATGTTCTTTCTTTAGCAGAGCTGAGCTGGACAGATGGCACTCGGAGTTTCTTTTTGAAGAGCTGCCATGCCCTCTTCCCTAGAACATTCGTTGGAGGAAAAGACGGGCGAATGGATGTGGGTGGGTGAGAGCAAGAAATGGAGAGGGGAGATGGTGCTGGGATAGTGGAATAGTGGAAAAGCATAAGGCTAAACAGGGCTGGATTTGAAAGAAGATGGCAGTGAGGAACTGTTTATAGTTTTTTTCTACAGATTACTAGGTAGGGACATAGAAGAATTATGAGATGGCTTGAGATGTGATGAGAAGAAAAGATTATATGGACGAGTGAGTACGAGGGGATGGAAAATTGGTACGGGGCAGTGAGGAATTACCTACCTAGGTATCATAATTACGTTGTGTTTCTTGACGGGTTATTAGATTTTTGAGATGGGATATGTAATGTGGTGTGATGTGATGTGTGACATGAGATGTGAAATGTGAAATGTAAAGGTAGAATGAATACCATATTGTATACAGTATCTGCATAACTATTCATTCCTCGTCTATCTTATGATCCATTCCATCATATTCAATCCTGAAACAC